CCCTCCATCATCGGTGAGCACTCTTTAACATTCTGCTGGTTTACCCACTCACATGCTTCAGTCAAAGCGAGATCCTGCACCTGAGGCTAGTCAGCGTCTTGTTCACTTTGAGTGCCTCGGCAAGCGCCTGAGCTCCCGCATCGCCAATCCGGTTCGCGTACAGTCTGTCCGTCCCTTCCATGAGGAATCATTCGAAAACACTCTGCTCAATCATCCACTCACAAGCATCAGCAAAAGTGAGATGCCTTACATGAGATCTTTCAGCGTCGTGTTCACTCTGAGTGCCTCGGCAATCGCCTGGGCTCCCGCATCGCCAATTTGGTTATCCTCCAGCCTGTCCATCATTCCATCAGTATGGATTCCCGAAAACGCTACTAGATCATCCAATTTCATGCACCAGTCAAAGGGAGGTGGCTTACTCGGCCCAATACAGCTTCCCATTCACTTTGAGTGCTTCAGCAATTGCAGTCGCTCCAGCATCGCCAATCTGATTCGTGCCCACACTGTCCATCAGTGAGCACTCTGTTTGCCCTCTGCTGATATCACGCACTCACATGCACCAGTCAAAGTGAGATGTTTTACCCGAACTGAGTCAACGTCGTGTTCACTTTGAGTGCCTCAGAAATCGCCTGGGCTCCAGCATCGCCAATCTGTTGGTCGAGAAACCTGTCCTCCATTTCATCAGCTCACGTTGTCGTGTGTCACCTCTTCGCTTTCTTACCAAATATGGTCGGATTCAGGCGTCTTGACTTTGTCGTACAACTCACGCTGTCTGCGAGTCATGTTCTCATACGACAGGTGCGCTGGCTGGTTCGCCTCTTGCAGCATTTTGCCAGAGCTTTGAATATCTGTCATGACGGAATGGCAATGCAAGCGAACGACTGAGCGCGAAAAGCAGCCGAGCCCCAAAACAAAACCCAAATCAGGACGGGCTGCTTCAATACCTACAGTCCTGCACTTCAGCCACGGCCATATCTGGTGGAATGCACCGCATCCCGTTCCGCTCTTGCAACACAAACGGAGGGAAAAAGGTGATTGGCAGTGCACCAAAGTCGGTCGCTGTGTTTGGACCTGTGTTGAACTCTTTCAAGTTGGACTCTTTCAAGTTGCCGCCTTCACCCCACAACCATCGCCATTCCGCTTCAGCCTGATACTAAATTGTCGTTGTAATTCTCGTATGGCGGGTGGACTTCCCGCAACGCAACGCTTTCACTCCTCTTCCATTTCTCCCACATGCGATTCAAAGCGAGCATTGACATTGTCGACAATGTCATCAAGTTGCAGCGTGCGTTTCGTCCCACACACACATACACACACACACACATGCACACACCCAAATGTCCTTGTAGCAAGATCGAGTCACTCTGAACTCATGCAACTCAGCCAGTCCAGTGGAACAGACTCGAAGGTTGAAGGTTGAGCGTTGCAAGCAACTGAAACGCGCGTTTCGTTTCGTTTTCCCGGCAAAATCCACCCAGCCGTTCCCTCTTTCTCGTGGCATCGCAGACCGAAGCTACTACCACAACCGACATCACCGCCACATCTCCAAACGTGTTGGCCGCGCAACGCCGGCTGACTGACTGGCCGTTGAACTGACTGACTGACGCTCGCTCGCTCTCTGCACTCCCTTCAACAGGCATCGTCGCCACGCTGGCCAAAATCTCGCACAAGTGCGTGATTCGATTCACGCCAACACAACTCCACTTTGTGCTGCAGAGCGATGTGACCGACCGAGCAGCACGCGTCTGGTCGGACATCACACAGGTACGCAGAGCAACGTCGTTCATACAGAGTTCGTTGGTCAACCCAAGCAATGTCTCACCATTTGACCTCAAATCGACCTCCTGTGCAACACAACAAAGACATCCATCTTTAAAACATACAGAATCCAAAGCACACACCAGAACAATGAAATTCTGGTCGACATTTCGCTCGATTTGCTGCAACGCGCGCTGAAAACGGCCAACAACGCCGACACGGTGACCATGCGCATGATCCGCAAGGAGGAAACTCCATTCCTGGTTCTCGATGTCGTGCTGGTGAGTGCCATCATCTTTTTCCTGTTGACCATTTGGCAGGCTGAATCTCGCTCATCTTCTTTGGCATTTTTCTCAAAGCGCAGCGCCCTCAAAACACTCGACCCGGACAAAACAGTCGACCCCGCCTGCTCTGCCAGCAGATTCCCATGCTGATTTTGCACCATTCCTTGATTGACGACTACCAAGAGCCCGTCTTACCGCGTCCCGAGGTGTCCATCTACATGCCGTCGCTCAAACTGCTGCGCAACGTTGTCGAGCGCATGAAGACGATCAGCAGCCACCTCGACATTGCGGCCAACAATGACAAGACGTTTTGGCTTCGAGTGGACTCGGACATGCTGGAAATCCGCGCCTCCTTTCCCAACTTGCAGAATCCCGAGTGGCGTGAGTGTTTGTTTTCAAGAGTTGATTTTTTTGTTTTTGAGACTCTGGTCAAGGGGCAGGTCTCCATCTGACTTTGTTTTGCATTGTTTGTCATCGGGTGTGTCAGGGGATGGCCTGCAGCCAGAGCAAGAAGCAACAGACCCCAAACAATTCACCGTCGCTCGTGTCGCAATCAAGCATTTCGCTCAGTTCCTTCATGGCCACCAAGTTGGGGCATCCAATGTGATTTGCAGTACGTGCATTCGGAAGTTGTCATCAGCAGTGTGTGCAAGTGCTGAACCGTTGCAATCTCTTTTTTTTTTTTTTTTTTTTTTTTTTTTTTGCAGGTATCGTCGAAGACAAAGCTGTGATTCTCTTCCTGATTGACGACGGTGTGGCCTTGACCTATCGGCTGCCCATCATTCCCTGCTAAATCCCCAATGTCGTCATGTCTTGCCTTCATGTTAATAATATGTACAGTACTCTCATTGTCGAGTTCAGCCATTCCAAAGAAGTGCGGACAGTCAATTTCCAAAAGTAACTTGGTATTTTTTGTTTGTTCAACGTCGGCAAACCCAACAAACGAAAATCAACACGGCAAACACACACATCATCATCATCATCATGACCGTCAACCAAACATCATTTAATCCTTGGCGTCGCCAATACCGTCGGCGTTAATGGCAAAGACGGCTTCGGCCTCGGGCAGAGACGGGGAATCGTAGATTTTGCAAATGCGCGTCTCGGCACGACCCTTGCGCAGATACAAGCGGGTGGTCGAGGCGTGCGCCATAATGTTGCCACCGATGGGCTTTTTGGGATCGGCGGCAAACATGGCGCCACCGTCGACCTGGGCGACGACTTGGTTGGTCACGACAACCGCAATGCCAAACTCGTCGGCGAGTCGGAGCAATGAGCGCATGAATTTGGCCAGATGCATCTGACGAGCAGACAGCTCACCACGGCCACTGTAATCTGTTCGGTAGAGCGCGGTGGCACTGTCGACAATCAGCAGCGCGTAGCGCGACTCGGCCATCATGGCGGAGGCTTGCATCAACAGCGCCAGCTGGTGGTCAGTGTTGTAGGCACGCGCATAGGCCACGTTGTCGAGCACATCGGGGCCCGACAGACCGTAGCGCTCGGCAGCAGCGAGCAAACGCTCCGGACGGAAAGTGCCCTCCGTGTCAATGTACAGACACTTGCCCTCGCCGCCGCCCTGGCTGGTCGGCAGCTGGCACGTCACGGCCAGCGTGTGACAGATCTGCGTCTTGCCAGTACGGAACTCGCCAAAGATCTCGGTGATGGCGCCCGTCTCAAAGCCGCCCTGGAGCAGCTTGTCGAGCTCCTTGGAGCCAGAGGTCAGCGTCACCAAGTCGGAGCGCCGCTGGTGGAACTCTGACGCGGTCGTGAAGCCCATGGGCACCAGCTTGGTGGCCTCGCCAATGATTTTGTCGGCCTTGGCTTCCGAGATGCCCTTGACGGTCAGCAGGGTCTTGCGCGGTGTGTAGACGACCGACTCGACAGTGTTGTAGCCCGCCTCCATGAGCTTCTTGGTGTCTGCCGCCGAGATGCCATGTTGCTGTTGCAGACCACAAGCAAGCAAGGACGACAAGAGTGAGCATGGGTTGGAGAAGCGTGGGTGTGTGAGTGAGCGAGAGAGAAAGAGACAGCAAGCAAGCGACCTGCAAGAAAGAAGAAAAAAAAAATGAAAAAAGCGTCAAAAAGTGAAACAAAATCAATCTTGGCGGGAAAACTTGCAACTTGTTGCAATTGTGTTCAGTGTTTGCGTGTGAGTGTGTGTGTGTCGTCCAGTTGCACTTTATCCCACACGGACTCGCTTCGCGCAAGTGGTGTGTTTGTGATACAGGGAGAGTGGTGCGAGAGTCGGGCTTGTGTCGAAACAAAGCGACACAAACCCAAGTGGCTTGAAACTGAAACAAACGCATTTTCGCGCGCTTTTTTTTTCTTTTCTTTTTTTTTGCATCGACGTTTTGTTGCAAGCGAGCTGGCTGCCTGTGTCACCTCACGATTGAGGCTACCCCAGCATCGCTTCTGTATTGCTTGTGTGATGGGGGGGGAAGAGGAGGTGGTGCAAGACAGCATGGCAAGACTCACCTCGAGTCGAGACACGAGCATCGGGCCCATGGCTTCCTCGCCACTGTACGCCTCCTCTTCTTGGGAGACCATTGCCGACATGGTTGCAGATGTGTGGGTTTTTTTGGTTTCGGGTGAAAACAACACGAAAATCAACGAGTGAGTACGAGTCAGAAAAACAGAATGAGGAAGGAAAAGAAGACTGACTGTTGTTTCGAATTCAATTTCTAAACAAAAAGATGTTTGCCAAATTCAAAGTTAAAATCAAGTTGGGGAAAAGTACTTGGGTCTAGTGATGATGAATTTCACTCAACTCCAAAATACGCCATAGATTGCCATAGATTGAAAATGCATCGTAGTTGACAAAATCACGACAAGCGAGTGTTTCTGGATCTGTGACGACCAGCCCGTGGATTGAACTCCCAGAAAGATCGAGCAGATGCGTCGCTGTATTCAATACAATGAAGAACTAGGTGTCCGAGGCAAAGCAGCACAAAATCAAGAGAAAAAGCCAAGAAACCGGATTTCTCAGCTCAGGTTTTCGCGCCAAACACAAAGTTACACGAAATCCATCAAAAAGTAATCGGCAAAGGACTTGCGTTCCCCATGCAGATATGGCGGCAGGTGCTTGACAAACTCACTCCAGTCCTCATCAGACAGTGGAAACTTGGAGCGTGTCAGGAGGTAAGGGTAAGCGTGGTAGCCATTCTTGGCGACAAAATGATCTTCTTCCTTCTTCAAACAGACAAGGACATTAACCTTTGTGGCGTGGTCGTCATCATACTCACTCAGCTCGCCTCTTTCGAGCGGATACACAAACAACGTAGAACCGGGGATGTGGCAGCCCTGGTGTTCGAAGATTGCGTGATGGAGTTCCTTGGGGAATTTCGCCAGAATCGTCTGAATGCCACGAAGTGGAGAAAAATAAAGTGCATAGCCCATTATCAGCGCAGAATGTATGAAAGAAAATCAAGACTGCCGGAGGAACTGATACCTATAACGCTTTGTTGAATTGAGGTTTGTTTGTGTTTGCTTTTTTTTTGCTTTTTTTGTTTGGTGTGTGTGTGTTTGTTGGCTTGGTTGGTTGTTTATTGTGAATGCTTTCTCAATCAACCCCCCCGATTCGCAGCATCGTCGTACGCAGTTGCTTGTGGAGTAGCGGCATGACTAGTGCGCTACCGCACAGCCGTCCGACGGTTACTGCGCCGCGACAGTTTCGCCATGCCACGAACGTGCGCAACGAGCCGACCGTTCTGAAACAAGGGAACATCAAACGGCGTTTCGCGATTCACTTGCTTGGTGGGTGCGTCGCCGTCCGATGGCCGAACCGATTTGGTGGCGGGTGTCAACGGCGAGCTGGCCAGAAGCGCGTCGACGACAGACCGGAGCCCAAGCGCTCCCTCGCCAAGGCGATGGGTTGCCTTGCGACGCTCGTCGAGCGCCGACAAGTCAGAGTAGGAGGCCGACTGATCGAGTTTCCGGCGTAGGAAGATCTTGACATGCAACGTTCCCAGCTCTTGCAATTCGGTCTCCCACAAATCCAGCGTCAGCGACTGGCGGTGCCATTGCGACCAAACCACCGTTTGCATAAAAGAGCTGGCAAAGAGGAGCGAGTTGTCCGCATCGGTTCCGAGCTGCTCGCTGTCCATTGCAATTTCGCCAAGGTGCATGGCGTCATCGTCGGCATCTCCTGGAGCGTCATCGTGGTCATCGGAAGGTTTGCGCTTTTTGCCAAACTTTGGCAAAAACGTGAGTAGCGCCCCGCGAGCGCTCGTTTCCGCTTTGGTGTCGTCCAGCGAAACAACCACGCCAGAGCCCTCACTGTGCACGGACGGGCTGGCAATCACAGCGGCGGCAGCAGCAGCGTTCATTGCAGGCGCCAAAGTGCCGGCAAGTCCAGCGGCAAGGACCGGCTCTGTCGGAATACGGTGGGCACTAGCTGGTTTCGCGGGTGAGGACGGACCTGCAGCAGTGTCGACGCCGGCGGCGGCATGATGATGCGCATGGCCAGAATCCACGCCCTCAGACCAGGTGACGTATGCTGGAGGATTGGGCACTTGGGTGACAATCACGTTTGTCAAAACGAGTCGTGCAGGGAACATGCGCTGAACGGAGACCGGGCGCGGGAGCGGAATATCGATGGTGAACTTTGCCTGGACGGGACGGTGATCAGAGGAGCGCATCGTGGGCACGGATTCGTACGAAACGGGCAAAACAGAGACGCCGGGCAGAGTCTTGTACAAGACGCGATCGCACCACGATGGTACACGCTTCTTCACCGACTCGTATGTCGAAGCGCCAGGATCGAGCTTGAAGGTGGGTGCAAAAGAAATGGGCATTTCGTCAAATCCAGCAAACACGCAACCAGCGGCGCGGTTTAGGTTGAGCTGATCCACGCTGAGCAAATCGCGCCACGGATTGGCTGGCAGGCCAGACGCCTCGTTCGCCAGTTGCGACTGCGCCTCGAACGAAGCGAGATGGGTCGCAGCAGCCTCGGCTGCAACGCGTTGCTGGTCCTGCTGAACGGTCGAGATGGTGCTGAGAACGGCATCGCGCGATCGTTCGATACGATAGTTCAAATCCCCCATCCAGAAGACAGCGTGGAAGGCGTTTGAAAAGTCCGCGTCCGACTCGCCCAGATTCATTTTGGAGATGATGCGACCAAAGTCTTGGTTGCGCTCACGGATTTTCTCCTGGTGAGCCGCAAAGTGGGCATTCACAAAACAGATGGAAAGATCAAACAGACGCAAGGACGCGCCAACCGCGCCCTTGTTAAAGCCAACTTTGGCCAGGCCCGTTCGAACGGCGTCCGTCTGCACGCTGGAAATGTAGCGAACGATGGCGCGGCGTGCAAACACAAACAGGCGAATGCCGGCCGTGTCATAAAAGGCTTTGGTGTTGGGAGCGCGCATTCCTGCCGCAGCAAGAATGTTGCACACGGTGACAGTTGAGAATTGCGATCCTAGAGCATCGAGCAAGAGGCTATGAAAGTGACTCTCGCAGCTGCTTCCTTCTGGAGCGGAATACGCGCACTCTTGAACTCCAATTGCGACCAAGTCTGCCCCAGGATCAACCCACGGAAGCAGCGTTCCAACCGGCGCGGCATTGCCGACATTCCACGTGCCGATACTGATCGTGAAGGGTTTGGAGACAGACCGGAGCGAGAGTCCGAGAAGCGGCTCAATCCGTCGATGTAACTGAGACGACAGAGAGACGAGTCGCGGAGTAGTGTTGGACGAGGGATGCATGGGTGGAGGCGCTATTAACGCACCCTCGACGGGCTGAACAGTTGGAAGGGGATTGGGTGGCGGTGCAGGGTCGTGTGGGGTGGCGGGCGTGACTGAAATGACCGCAGGCGCAGAGCCAACTGCGGCCAACACTTGGTCGATTCCGCTGTGAGCTGCCGGCGGCGGCAGAACGCGAGGCGGGGGAGAAAGTGGCAGAGAAGTCCTGGGAAGCACCAGCCGGTTGGCCTCAAACGCTGTGTCGGCAAAAATGCCCTGTTGGCGCGAGTGCTCCACCTGGTATTTCAACCGTTCAATGTCTCCTCCGCTTAGAGACACAGATGAAGGACGACGAGCTCGGGATGGTGGCGCCGGCACCTCGAGACGCGGGGCAGCCGAGGGCGGGGCTGGATTGTCCTCAACCTCGGCCTCTGCAAAACTGGCAAGGCTCTGCTGGTCGTCATCGTCATAGACGGATACGTTGTCGTCCGTTGCACCATGCGCGGCTTCATCGGCAGCGGCCATTTGAGAAACAATGAGTTCAAAGTCGAGCAATTCGCGCTGAGCGGCAGCAAGTTGGCGCTCGCGCTGCTGCAATCGTTGCATCAACTGTGACACGGTATCATACGCCATGGTCAAGTCTGTGCGAAGGCGATGGTTGCGCTCGTGAGTGCGAGACGCCATTGTCAGCAGTTGAGACTGTGCTTCAAACACTTGAGTCAGCTCTGAGACTCTGCTTGACGAAGCTGCATTTTCCGCGAGCGCCGCGCTGCCCGCTTCGAGATCGTTCGCGGGTGACCCGGGAACTGCGATGCTCGCGTGGTCTACAGGCAAAGGCGAAGCTGGCTCTGCTGCTGGTTGGCCAACGCTCGGTTTGGGCTGCGCGGAAAGTGGTGGGGCTGGCTCATCTGCATTCATTGCCTCGAGCAATTTCGTCATGTTTCTCATGTCCTGCTCGAACGCCCGCAGGGGTCGTGTCAGCGTCATGACAAACCAGCAGATAAATCCAAACTGGATGCCGAGAAAGAGGATGGTAAACCCAAGCGACAAGACCTTGTCGACAATGTCGCCTGAATTTCGAGCAAAGAGAGCCGTGTTCAAAATCACTGCCAGGAGAAACGTCCCGAAGAACCAGATCTGAGATGTGGAGCAAAATAACCGAGTCAAAGGAATAGCCAAAACAAAACCAAAAACGCAGGTGAATGGTTGGGTCGTGTCGAGTGTCGAGCACGAGAGGGGGAAAAAAAATGCCTCACTCACTCCAAGTAGCGTTTTGATGGACATGTTGCGCTTGATGCACCAGCATCGGAGCAGGTATTCTGAGCGACTTGCAGGTCGGTAGCCCTGTGCGCCAATGAACTTGAATGCGGCCGGTTGAGCTGGAGATCCAGGGCCGGCATTTCCAACGCCGTTCGGTGTGATGAGCGCCGTGGAAGTGGGTCCAGAAGGGTCCAACGAGAGACTTGCATGCGGTTGGAGCGGTGCCAGGCGCCTTGAGAGCGCAGTGCTCTCAGCAGAGGACGCCGATGATGATGACAGACCCGCGGTCGAATGCGGCAGCGAGCTCGAGCCAGACGCGCTCTGCTCGCCTCCTGAGACCGGGATTTGCGGCGTTTGAATGGGTGATGATCGGACTGGACCGTGGTGGCTTGGCGTCGAACGTGGAAGCGAGCCAGTGGTGACTATCGCCACTTGCTCAGCAGCACTGTCGGCGTTCTGCTTGGATTGCATTCCCCGCACCACTCCCGCTCAAACAGTACTCTGCTCCTTTTTTGAAATATCAAGCACGGGCAAGACAAAGACAGGATGGGGAGGCGGGGGGTTGGTGTGTTAGTTCGAGTGGGAGTGTTCAATCACAGCCACCTCGATTGAGAGGTGTGGTTGTTGTTTGGGCACGAAGGCGAGGTGCCGGGCAAGAATTCTAAGACTGGCACTCCTATGATTGCTGAACCGACTTTGTTTTGCAAAGCGCACACGTTGGGTGTATGTTGGTGTTTGTTCTTTCATGGATTGGCGAGTTCCACCCGGCGAGCGACGAGAACAAGGACAAGCAACGGACGTTTTTCCACCGTCCTCAATTTCTGAGACTTCCCTGCCCCCCCCCCTTGCTCAACTCCACTGCCCAGCCGACACGTGCTGCAATCAACCAACCTGACTGACTGGAATTCGAAGAGCCTTATTGGACCAGTCCAAGATGACTCGGACAGTCTTTCTTTCACCAATCTCCGTACCGCACAAAATGGGCATCTATCTCAGTTTCAGACACCTTCGAGGCGTTGCAACCACTCTGGCGAAACTTCCCAAGGAATTCCACGCGGACATTTTGGCGCGTGAGGAGCCATGCATCCCTGGCTCGCAATTGGCATGCTATTCGCTCAAGTACCACGAAATCGACGAGCCCTATGATGCCACGAAGATCAAGGTGTTTGTCGGCTATCCGGCGGAAATCCATGTGCTTGCCAAGATTCGAGGCGAAATGGACCCGGAGGACATGTGTTCCACCTTTCCCTTGTCCGAGGCGCAATGGACTGAGTTTGCCAGCCAGCTTCCGAAGTATCTGCACAGTGAGCGCAAATCCTTTGCCGATTACTTTTTGTTCTCGTGAACTTTCACTGGGGTGATGTTTGGCTGGAAAAAAGTGCCAAGACAATGTTTGGCGGGAAAAAATTGCCGAGACGCGCTTTTGTTGTTTCCGTCTTTGTCATTGAAAAAAAATCGCTTTCATTCTGAAAAATGGCAAACAGAAAGGCAGACACGTCAATTAGGAATTGGTCGAGATATCGGCTTGAATAATGCGATGAATGTGGCAAAGATAATCCACGTAGGACATGGTATCGGGACCCTTGTCTTCCGCTAGCATATTGAGGAAGGCAACTTCCGAAGCGTCCTTTGTTGTCAACGAAAAGCAGAAAACAAAACCAGTGAGATGATAAAGAAAATGGCTGCGATCGGAACGCCAACGCCAGATAATTTCGAACAAACCTGTTGCTTCACAATGCTCATGCGCAAAAAGCGGGACGAGAGGCGCTGGCGACGAAGGATGTCGACAAACAATCGCATTTTGGAAGAGATGGGGTTGTCGAACGCCGAAAGTGATGTCTGGTCCCGGGAAAAAAAAAAGTGGGATTGAGCTGAGCCAAATCACAATGCAGCCGCTGGTTGCAGAGCAGTCGGGCGCCAATACACCATCCCACATGTACCTTTGTCGTGTCAACGGCCTGGAATGTCGGAACACCAAACAAGGATTGCAGCAGCTCGCTCGAAGTGTTACGCCCAACCCAAACAAACAAGTACACGCCGTTCTCTGAGTGACACGAGGCAAAGGAAAAGGATGATGAGCAAGAACACACACGAGAGAGAGAGAGCGCCATAAAGCAACAAGCAACAAGCCAACAGCTGTTGCACCGAAACTTACCACACAGATACACTTGCGTATCATCCAATCGCTCATACGACGTGCGCACCAGTCGAGGCAGACGATCATCAACAACATCCCTGGCACGAGCGTCAGTTGCGCACAACAACCGAGGATAGAAGAAAGGGATGGAATTGGAGACAGCCATGCACGACAGGGCATGCAGGGTCGCCGCGCGAATATCAGGCGCAACAGCAGACCCTCCTCGGAACGCATCGCACTTGAGAAGGGCGTTGGTGTAAACGGGTAGCAGCTTCAGAGCTTCTGGCAGAATGAGCTACAGGCAAAAGCATAATGAACCGACCAAAAACACAAAATCAGCCATCAACATCCATCACACACACACAAAAAAAAAAAGAGCAAACATGACGAAACTTTCAACCTCCGCCCCCCCCCGTCTGCTTACCTGGCCAGGAGACGAATTGGCCGCGCAGTGTTTGCGGTAGTTGGTCAGAATGGCAATGCAAAGATCGCTGAAATGGTCGCGGACGGCGCGAAGTGGCTTCTTGTGGACATCGCGATCAGCCTGCTTGGCAATGAAATTCAGGATGGTGTCCATTTCAGCGTGCCGGAACACATCTTGAATAACATTCGAGATGCGAAGCGCAATGTTGTGGACTCGAATGCGGCGCTGCCCGTGCGCATTCGTGTACAGCAGGGCAAGCTGCAAGTATGCGTTTTGGCGCTCGCTGAGCGTGTCGTCATGCCGAAGTTGGATGCCAATCGCCTTGTCAGCATCAATGCCTGCCAACTCCATGTCAGTTGTGTTGCGCATGCTAAAGTTGCCAAAGAACTCGACAGCACGCAGCCCGTTGCTGCAGCGCAGACGCATGAGCGCGTCGTAGCCGGTGGTGCGGGTGACAGTGTAGCGAATCTCGCGGAAGAGACGCTCGCCGTCCAGCGCGGCTGTAAAGTTCGGGTAGTGATACACAGAACCGCCAGTCAACGCACTCACTTGGCTCACAGTCGCGACGTCGAGATACGAAGGCGACAAGAGGAAGAGATCAACAGACACTCCGGATGCGGTGCAGTCTGTGGCAAGCTTGCGGTAGAACGTGTCGGTGGGGTTGGGCGCAATGATGGTATTTTCCTTGTCCGTGCCTAGCAACTTGACGTCATCTCGTCGCGTCAGTTTGCCGGGAAGCTCCGAGCTGGGCAAGGTGGTCTGGAAAAAGAGAACCTTGCCTCCGCGATCCTTGGCAGCGAGATGGGCGGCCTGCAACGCGGGGCCAATCGCCGGGTCGGATTGCTTCGTGTCGTGGAATTGCTGCGGCAAACGATCGAGGAAGGATTCAATCAAAGAGCGCGACTGGAACGCGTCAACCAACAACCCGCCCTCGGGCGCCAGCGGCAAGAAAACATCCGTCACGTCGCTCACAATGAGCATCTGTGACTGCGTCAGCGAAGGGTTTAGGTTGTGGAAGTGCACTGCGCGATCGTACGTGATAAAGCCGACCTTGACAGGTGACCGCGTCCTGCCAGTGGCGCGAGCGGAGCTGCTCGTAGGTTCGCTGTCGATGCGATCGTCGCCAGGTTGACTCGGGGATTCGACTGGGACGGCAGCGGGCAGCGAGTCGAGCAAGCTTTTGATGGCCTGGATGACGGTCAAGAGCACTCCCGAATGCACCGAGTGCCACGACACGTCAATCACAAACACGTAGGCCGGAGGAAGCGGAGGACGGTTGTAGTAGTCTTTGGTGGCAGCAAACTCGACCGAGCCAAAGCGGAGCTCGGGACGCGCGTTCACGTCGAGACGCCGGCCAGTGTGGTCGAGGTTGCAAAAGTAGGCTGCAGGCACTTCGTTCTTCTGGCTGCACAAATTGCACACAAACGCGCGGCCGCCATCGATGAACGTCACGTGGCAGTTAATGTAGGCCTTGCAACGGTTGCATCGCACGGGTCCATCGGTGCCGTGGTCGGCAACGTAGATTGGCTGCTCGCCAGGCGTCGTGTCAACCATAGGAGTCACAATGACGCCGAACGGCAGCTTGGTCTTGTTCAGCAGCTCTTCGGAAATGGGAACATTGTTGATTGTTGCACGCATAAAGCGCGGTGTGCAGTTGCCGTCATCAACGAGACGAACGGTTGTCGATGCCAGAGGCGGAATGTGTTTGCTCTCAGTCGCGGTGGGCGTGGTCGCTCCGGTAAACGAGGCAGAAGGGGCCAAGCCGGCGACGGGTGCACTTGCAATGTAGGCTGCAACGCCGTCAAAGGTTTGCTGGTCACCCTCCATGACCGCCACTGGCGAGGGAATGTGATTGGGATCAATTCGGCTTTGCTTTTGCGGGGGTTTGCCTGCTTGTTGGAATCCGCCCTGCTGTTGCTGCAGCTGCTGGTTTGGTTGTTGGAATCCAGGTTGTTGCTGCTGGAATCCAGGTTGTGGCTGTTGGAATCCAGGTTGTTGGAATCCAGCAGGTTGCTGCTGTGGGAATCCCGGTTGCTGTTGCTGCTGCTGTTGCTGTTGCAAGAATTGCTGTTGTTGATGCTGAGCAAAGGATGGCTGGTTGCTAAACTGGTTTGGTTGCATGGGCGGTTGTTGTGGCTGCTGCGTGGAAGGCGGAGCAGACATACCAGGACCAGCTCCAAACTGGGAGGGAGGTTGCTGGCCAAACTGCTGTGGCTGCACTTGCTGCTGCGCTTGCTGCTGATTGCCAAACGGCTGGGTTGGCGCGGCAAACTGGCCGCTTTGGGGTGCAAACCCAGGCGGTCCATTGCTGAATGGCGGCTGGGATTGCGGCATCTGGCTGTTGAGTTGAGGCTGTTGAGGAGCGGCTCCGTACGAGGCAGCTGCTGCAGCAGGGGTGGGATAACGCCGACGATTGGCCGATGCTCCTTGAGGCGAGGTGGCAGAGAATCCGGCATCAGTAGGCGGCATTCCAGCAGGTGTCAAACCAGCCTGAGGAGGCGAGAAGGGCTGCTGTGAAGGTGGGAAAGCCGAGGGCTGCTGCTGCTGCTGCTGCTGCGGAGGCGCATAACCGGGTTGGGCGGCAGCCTGAGGGAGCGATTGGGGTGGTGCGGCCGCGTGGAATCCGGGTTGTTGGCTCGATGGGAATTGCTGCTCGCCAAACTGCGACGGTTGCTGAGCATGTGGTGGTTGGTGAGGAAGCTGCGGCTGCGACTGAAGTGACTGTGGTTGCAAACTCATGCTGGCAATTGGCCCGGAAAGCGAGTTGGGGTCGGTGCGCGCAGGATGCCCAGCGGCCGGGTTGAACGGCGGTTGCGCAGGAGACTGCCATGCTTGTTGAGACGGGGCCTGTTGTTGTGGTTGCTGGTGTTGCTGCGGAGGGGAAGTGAGCTGCTGCGAAGAAGTGTTGCCAAACTGCTGCTGTCCAAACTGCTGCTGATGCGGCGCTCCGGATGGCAAGGCGTGGAACTGCTGCTGAGATGACGGTGCTCCGGGTGGCGGCTGCGGCAAAGTGTGGAACTGCTGGCCAGCCGAGGAGGAGGAGGAGGAGGAAGAGAGCGGCGGTGGAGCAGCGGGTCCCGGCGGCCCCGGTTGACGCCCCTGCGAGACCATGAGACCCTCCTGTGGTGCAGCGTGTTGGCCAGGGTATGTGCCTGCGTGGCCGCTCGGGGAGTAAAACGCAGCACCAGTCGTCGTCGGTGGAGGCGCGCCAAATGCTGATGTGTCAGTCGTCGTGCGCGGCGCCATCTGTGTCGGAGGCGGGAGTCCCGGTCCTGCGCCCGTGTGTGCTTGCAACGGAGCCTGATGGAATCCTCCTGCGTGGGGAGGATGTGCTGCGCTTGTATGACTCGAGGCGGCAGTCGGAGGTGGCAATCCTTGACCTTGACCTTGACCTTGACCAGGAGCAGCAAACTGCGCAAACCCGCCTACAATTTCACAGCAAAAGGCAGGGGGGTTGTTTGCTCAGTGAGTTTGATGCAATGAAACAGCAACACGCTCTCTCTCTCTCTCTCTCTCTCTCTCTCTCTCTTTATGAACTGAACGTGTCAAAAATCACAAAATGACTGAACTGAACTGAACGAGAAAAAAAAAAAAAAAAAAAAAAAAGTGCGATCGCAGCGATTTTGAAACCGAACAGGAATTGGAAGAGAAGACGAGATTGCAGGAAAGCAAGCGAGCGACAATGTAGAGCACAATGAGAATGACAACGTCAGAATGAGGAAACAAAAGAGTGAACAAACGCATTGGAAGAAGAGGAAGCAAAAAAAAAAGCGTTGATCGACACAGTTTGAATGGAAAAACTCAAAAAAAAAAAAAAAAAAAAAAAGGAGAATTTATTATTTTTTTATTTTTTTTTTTTTTTTTGAGTTGCTGCCACGTCTCATTTCAAACCAGAAGTCTGACGACGGCAGCCACGTCGACAAAGGGGGGGGGGAGCCAAGACCATGTAGATGCACGAACGCATCGTCAATGGAAGGCGAAGTGGCGTCAGCGAATGACGGCTGCGTTTGAATGGAGAGAGGAAGAAGAAGAAGCAAAAGGACGGCTTCAAACTACTACTTACTACCTTGAGCTTGGAAGGCGGGATCTGGGTGCATCATCATCGATCGCTCCCAAAAGTGAAATTAAGAAGAATGAAACAAATGAAATGAAATGAAAGAGGGAAGAAGAAGAAAAAAAAAAACAATGAGCAAAGAAGTGGGAGCGGGCGAAATGGAGCAAAATGATGGAAAATCGACATTGGGAATGAAACGTTAATGTACATGTACAGTACAAAGGCAATGGGAACAACAAACGGACAGAGAGAGACAGGGTGGAGTACAGGGTGGGAAAATAGCAGTGGCAGGAATGGCAGAAACTCACTCGATCGCGAGATTGGGAATCGAAGAGCGCTGGATGGCGAGTTGGAGCTTGAGCAACGCGGCTCGGCACATGATGAGAAACTGTTGAGGTCGTCATAGTTGGGGACAAACCAAGGCAACAAACATGAGCTCGACAGAAAGCGCAGCGTCTCAAGCAACCAAATCAAAATCATTGCAATTATTACCTTTGCATCGCGCGTTCGCTTGCCGACCATCCGCAAGAAACGGATCAATTGATACGCAAGCTTAAATTGGCCCAGTTGAATCAGGCAATAGGCGAAAAAGAGCCGGCAGCGAACGACCAAACCAGGATCGCCGAGTTGGATGGCCACGCGTAACTGCTGGAGCGCCAGGCGGCCTGCTTCGAGGGCGTGCTCGTGCTTGTGATCGCCCAGTGCAGAGTGCGCTCCTCCCAAGGTCGACAGCCACGCTGTGACGCCCAACGCTGCAGCTCGTCGAGCAACCAGAGCTCCGACCATCGCCGACCTGAAAGAGAATACAAAGAGTTCAAAACACGTGAGGTTGCAGGCATGGCAATGTAGCACTGGTATTGTTTTGGGTTGAAACACGTACCACACAAAGTCAGCTTGAAGCTGGCGAGGACAGATTGGCGGCGACATGAGAATAAGCGTAACTGCTCGGTGCCGATCGGTTTGGCCAGCAAAATCCGCTGGGGACGCATGCAAGTACATTGCATAGGCCTTGGCAATGGTCGAGATACCTCGCATGTTGAGTACTCGCCGGGAGGTGCTTGAGCTCGTGTTTTGTTCAGCGGTGAAAGCAAGCCACAGTGATTGGATCAGCAGCGGATGCACCAGTACAAGGCCGATCCAAACCCTCGAGTCGACTCCAACGTGACCATGCTCTGAAGCAGCAGCAGGAGGACACGGGCTGACTTGCAGCGTCACTGCGCCGCCATTGGAGCTTGACGCGACACGAGCATTGAGTGAAACGAGGCTGGCGGCGATCTGCCCTTGAGCAACAGTGCGCCGTCTTGAAGAACGACGTCTTGCAACAGGATGATGATGTGTGCTTGTCGCCAGAGTCTCGGGTTGGCTGGGCGTGTGCGCGATTCTGGCTCTTGGCTTCAACCACGCGAGCTGCGATACGTGACTGAGACGAACGAGTCGCAATTGCAGCACCTCATGGTAACTGCTTCTGCTCGATGGACCAGTGGCTTTCCTAAGGATGTCTGGAGCGCTCGTGGGCACGTTGAGCGAGGTCGTCTGCGCCATGCATTTACTGTGCAGTTGGATGATGTGAATTTCAATCCAGGGGGGTCCTCTTGTGCCCTGAGGATGGAACAACACCTCGGAGCAAATACAAAGACTGATTTGCAGTTTGAGTTGCTAAATCACGCACTGAAATCGGAACCACAGCAGTTGACATTGAGGAGCCGGGCGAAACAACAACTTGCTGGAACGAAATGCAGAAAGACCGAGATGAACGCTGTGAACAATTGGAAGAGCAAAAGAATCGGGGCTTTTGTTACTGCCTATGCTCAATGGTGATATCGATTTGCTTGTGGGCTGGGTGTGGAGAGTGAGTGGAGAGCGAGAAGAAAGAACCTCTGCGAATTTGCAAATCCTTTGTTGGTTTCGCTGCGGTTTTGTCAGGCAATGCAAAAACCAGCGCAGAACACACCCAACAATTTCACCAGAGAACATGGCTCAACAAAATGAAGGGTTGCTCTGCGCAGGTTCACAGCTTGGGATGGTAGGTTCCATGCTGGAAGGAAGGGCGCAAGTTTTAAGCATTTTCCTTCGTCCTCTTTCCTCGCGCTTCCCCCTAACCCCTCTCCACCCCGATTCATTCCCCTTTGCATATTTCGCTCTGGCTGTCCTTTGTTCCTTCCTTCGACTTCTTTTTTCTTCCTTCACACCCAAAATTCATCAAATTCACCCAAAAACAAAATCGAGCTCATTCCCATCTTTTTTTTTTTTCTTTTTTTTTTCCTATTCAAATATGACTGACGTTCAGCTGAACGAAGTCCGCACCGGTTCGATCGCGGTAACGACGATTTTATTGCCACCACACTCGCTGCACCTCGCATTACATCCACACCCATGACACACACACTCAGAGACCCGACTTTGCTGCTGTTGAAGGATTGCTTTTGAAAAGTATTATTATTATTATTATTTATTTATTATTGAGATTCAAACGAATCCTTGTTTCTCTTTGCGCGCTCATTGTCGGCTGCTGCTGCTGCTCCCCGTCATTGGTCTCTCTGCTGCCGTCTGCGTGTTTGTTCGAGAAGAAGGCTTGTCTTGTGCTGAACTGTGGATGGTCGGTCAGCCCTCGCTGCTCAAGTGTGCTGATTCATCCAAAAACCAAAGACCAAAAAAAAAAAAAAAAAAAAAACCTCATGTTGTGACACTGGATTTTATTTTGTTTTTCTCCCTTCACTCGTTTGACTCGCTGCTTGAGCCACTCGTCTCGCCCCCCCCCCTCCATTCCAACCCCCGTAGAGAGGCTTGAAGTGCGCTCCTTTGAAATGCAAGAGCCGTGCTTCGAAAGTGCCGAGAACGAGAGTGCGAGCGAGTGAGAAAAAACAGCAGCAGAGCGAAATGTGGATTTTTTTTTATTTTTTCATTTTTTTTTTTTTATTAAGCCTTTTCAGCCTTTCCCTTTCCATTCTTTCCATTGCTGTCCCGTCTTTTCATCGCTCCGTCTGAGACGTAGTGCGCTTGTCTATCTCGTGCTGTGTCGTGTGTGTGTCTCGTGTCGTGGGCTCGCTGGCTGTTTTGCAGTCCAGCTTTCAAAAAGGAACTCGCAATTTTTTTTATTTTTTATTTTTTTTTTTGGCAGATTTATTTTTAGTCAGTTTCAATAACATTCGCCCAAATTTGGTGTTTTTGGTTTTCGGGTGTGTTTTTGTTGTTTTTGTTGTTTTTTGTATAACAAAAGTCACCATCGATAAGAAATTCAGAAGGGGGCGTGACATTCTCAACCGTTGTATTTCATCGAGCTCGAAAACACTCACTCACGCTGTGTGACAATCATCGCCGTTTCTCGTTTCATCTTCAACACAGGACTCGTCGTCGCCCGACAACTACCTCATGAAGAATGGCGACCCCATCGACTACTGCTTGGTTGTCCAGACCAACAACAAGTGGTTTGAGGCCGCCGCGGAGAGCCGCAACAAGTACCTTGACGAGCTCCAAAAGCGCTTCCAACTCACCATTGAGCACGAAAAGTCCTCCGATGGTCTGTGGGAATGCTACAAGGTCTCGTCTTCGTTCGACCGCCTCCTTCACGAGGCTGATCGCATCAAGTTGAAGCTGTCCATCAAGGTGTGTGCGTGCTGTGGTTGTGTGTTTTTTTTTTTGCGTGTGTGCTTTCCTAACCCAAAAACCCCATGCCCATGCCCATGCCCTGCAGTGCGACGCCGATTACCCCAAGATCTCGTTCGCTGAACAGGCTGCGCGCGGTGTCATCAACACGCTGATGGTGTGCTGCCGTGCGGGCGTTCCGCTGGATGAGGAGGAGGAGTCGTTCACCGCCACCTTCCGCTACGACCGCAAGGACAAGTTCCTGAACATTGAAGACCCCAAGCTCTTCTTCAACCAGACGCAGCGCTCGCTGCTCGTGTACTCGATGCTCAACCGCACGCGCTTTGGCCCCAAGCCGTCCGACGTGGGTGTGCCGGCGCTCCAGCTCAAGAACGTCTTCACTGCCACCTACCCCCTGCACGACGGCCCCACCAACCGCGAGACCCTGCCTCCGCCGGCCAACTCTGTCCGCTACATTCTGGCCTCCAAGTGGGCTCGCTTCAAGTGCTTCTTCCGCTTCCAGCCCCTCAACCTCATCCGTCGCTACTATGGCGAGCAAATTGGCCTCTACTATGCTTGGCTCGGCTTTTACACGACTTGGCTCTTCATTCCGTCCATTCTTGGCATTCTCGTCTTCCTTTACGGCGTTGGCACCTACAAGGACAACGAAATTGCCCAACAAGTCTGCTCTTCTTCAATGGTCATCTGCGGTGTGTGCAACACGTGCAAGAACTACACCCTCAGCGACGCCTGCAACACGTACCAGTATTCAAACTTTTTTGATAACGAAGCCACCCTTCCGTTCGCTGCCATCATGTCGCTGTGGGCGACGCTCTTCCTCGAGTTTTGGAAGCGTCGCAACGCCGAGATTGTGTTTGACTGGGATGTGATTGGCTTGGAAGAGGACGAACCGCCGCGCCCGCAGTACTATGGTACCGAAATGCGCAAGGACCCCATTTCCGGCGTGGAGGAGGAATACTACCCCTTCAAGCGTCGCATCTTCAAGTTTTTGACCTCCGTCTTTGCCATCGTGACCCTGCTTGCTTGCGTTCTGATTGCCGTCGTTGCCGTCCTGTCGTACCGCCTCGCTGTCCGCGCCTCGTTCTACAACAGGGACCCTTCGAATGCGTCTGCCCTCACTGCGTTCACGGCTGCGCTTCTCAACTTGACGTGTATCGTGATTCTCAACCGCATTTACACCAAGCTCGCCACCATCATGACGGACTGGGAAAACCACCGCACTCAGACCGACTATGACGACGTTCTCATCTTTAAGATTTTCCTCTTCCAGTTTGTCAACTCGTACGCCTCGATCTTTTATGTCGCCTTCTTCAAGGGCAAGTTCCGCAACGTGCCTGGCTCGTCGGACACGCTGTTTGGCGAGACGCTGGACGGCTGCCCGCCCTACGGCTGCATGATGGATCTCACCATCCAGTTGGTCATCATTTTCACTGGTAAGCAGGTCGTCGGCAACATTATCGAGCTTGCCGTCCCCATGCTCAAGTCCATCTCGTCCAAGCGCAAGGTCGACCAAGTCAACTCTCCCCAGTGGCAGCGCGACGCCAGCCTGAACATGTTCGGCGGCCTCTTTGGCGAGTACCTCGAGATGGTTTTGCAGTACGGCTTCATCACCCTGTTCATTGCCGCCTTCCCGCTTGCCCCCTTGCTCGGCTTCCTGAACAACATTGTTGAAATCCGCCTTGATGCCGTCAAGCTCGTTGTCACCACTCGCCGTCCCCCGCCGATTCCCGCTGAGGACATTGGCACTTGGCAGGCCATTCTGACGGTCGTCGGTGGCATTTCCGTCATCACCAACGGTTTTGTCATTGCCTTCACTTCCGAGTTCATCCCCCGCCTCGTGTACAAGGATGTCCATGGCAGCCTCAACAACTACATCCAGGACAGCTACCCGACGGCCCCTGTTGGTCCCCCCTGCCACTACAATGCATGGCGTGACACCACTGGCGAGTACCTGCCCATCTTCTGGCAGATGCTTGCTGCCCGCTTTGCCTTTGTCATTGTCTTTGAGGTAAGGGGGGTTTTTGTGTTCAGATTTTGGTTTTGTGTTAAAAGCACGTCAAAAATGCTTTTTCGTTTATGAGATTGCTCACCTTCCGTGCCCTTTTTCTTGTTTTTGTTTTTGTTTGTTTGTTTGTTTGTTTGTTTGTTTGTTTGTTTGTTTGACTTGTCTCTGTTTTGCAGCACGTCGTCTTTATTCTGACTCGCATTGTCGCATTCATCATCCCCGACGTTCCCGGCGCTGTTCGCCTTGCTCTTGAGCGCGAAAAGTTCCAGGCTGATCGCGTCATGGGCGATAACTGAGCGGCCAAGTCTCTTTTTTTTTTTATAAGTGTTTAGCTCTCAGTCTCGAATGCATGTTGCAATGTTTTCCGCGCTGCTCTTTTTTGTGTGTGTGTGTTGTATCAGTACACGTTGTTTGTGCTTTCTGCGCTCCTTTTATGATTGTAATGACTTGTTGTCCTGTTTCTCTCAGGCACTTGCAGTTGTGTTGTGCAACACTGCGCTCGATTCGCTCAGTTTGAACGTCCATGGCCGACAGTCTTCATTCATCGTGCTGTTTTGTGTGTTTTCTTTCTTTCGTGCAAACACTATGGACTGGATTCATTGCAATCGGTGCTTTCGGCCGTTTGTCACTGCTCTTTCGTCCGCTGGTTCCTCTGGGAATGAGCGACCATTGCATCTTCAACCACAACCACAGGTTCGGCAGTCCTTGGCTGCTACTGGAGATGCCATCCGCTCGTCGCAACACGCTTCAGCGGAGGCAGCCGCTGCAGCGCCGTCGTTCCACCTGACCAGCTGCGGGCACATTCTCTGCGTTGCGTGTCTGACTGAAGGTGCGCTGACATCGTCAAGCTCAGACGAGTGTGTCTGTGTGTTTGTGCGTGTGTGTGACGATGGCAACGGTGGTCGAGCTGAAGAGAACGAAAGATGAAGCGGAAACTCGTTTCAAAACTCAAAAAACCGCGGGAAAGATGAACGCCAATTCGCACGTTTCATCTTCAAACTGGTCTGCGACGCGGCATTCGCTGTCTCTAACAACTGAATGTCTGTTGTTTGGGCGGTGTGTGAAAAACGAACGAATGGGTTGAGCGCAGCGACGGCCGCAGCGGCTGCAGGCTTACATCAAGCATCGGGCGAGACCACCAATCCGCACGTCGCGCGAGGCAGCTCAAGGAACGGCACTCATCTCAAGTGTCCAATCTGCTCCGAGGATGCAACATGCATGGAGCTCAACGATGAGGTGTGCATGTCGGATCGAAACCGGCTGCTGCTGCTGCTGTGCCAAAAACCGAAAACTAGATCTAACTCTCTCCCATCTCTGATCAGATGCCACCCGAGTTGCGTCGACTCTACATTGAACCGGCCAAGCTCATGGCCTTCTACACGGAGCGTGTGTGCGAAGTCATGCGCTTTCAAGACCAGCATCGGATGATGGTGAGTACTCGGTGCCGTTGAACCCGTCCGTGCTCTGGGAAGAGATGACGCGCTGCAATCCACTGTCACTAAGCCATGGATGACACAGTATACAGAGTTTCTCGAGCAGAGCCTGGCCATCAAGCAGCGCCAAATGCAACAGGCGCGCGTCAAGCTCGAACAGGCGCACCAGCTCGATCGAGAACTGACGGAAGCTCGGTCGCGCATTCGAGACTTGGAAGCTCAGATTCGAGCAGAAGATGCACTAGGTGCGGCAGGATTGGCGGATGTCAGACAGTCGCCAGGGCCGGCTCCAGGTCCGTTGCAACTCTTCACTCCTCGCTCGGTGATGCCTCCAAGCCAGCACGCTGACACGGCGCATTCCTTGGTGACTCCGGCTCGTCGAACCGCTCCAAACTTTGCTCAACGGTAAACAGGTGTCGACAGGATTGTGTTTGAAGCACTGCCTGTCAATATCGCTGAGTTGCCTTTGGGGTTTTATTGACAGGGTTCCGATGGCCCTTCAAAATGCCACTCCTGTCCCTCACTTGCTGCGATCCATCTCTCCAATGGCGCCTGCGCATGCGGGTGTTGGAAAGTCACCACGTTCTCGCGGTGAATGGAGGTAAGGCGTCCAAAACTGGTTCGTGAGAGAATGAGCGCAAGTCAGAATGCAACTGACCTCATATCGTGTACTGCGACACCCAGTCCGATACCTCAAGCGCCCATCACAAGTGGTCCGATTCATCAAGTCACTCCACATCACTCGGTATCGCTCGTTTACTCATCTCAGTGTGCCCGATGTAATTTTATTGACTCAACTCGCATTGTTGTATTGGAACAGCGCGCCTCCCCACAGATTCCCGCGGCGCCAGCTCGATTGACATTGCGAAACATTCCCTCGTTGGCACCCGCAGGAGTAGCAGACGCGCAGTCGGATGCCACCAGCATCTCTACCCCGCCTCAGGATTCCCACCAACGCCATTTTTCTTGATTCAACAGTGGCACCCACCTCGCAGACTCACAAGGCTGAGACGTATTTCGTGAATTCTATACCTCAAGTTCAGAAAAACCCAAAAAAATACAGCAGACTCCAGACAATGCGCAAAACAACAACCAAAAAGAAAAAAACCAGCTCAATCGGAATCCTCATCACTGCTAACATCCATGGCAGTGCCACCTTCGTTGACGCCCATTCGTTGCATTTGTTCCAACGCGCGGTTGATGACGGGAGCCCGGTTGCCACCTGCAGGAGCGCGCACGGGGAATTTGGCGGTCGTTTCGCTGCGGAACGGCCAGTTTGCCACGACCGTCGCGTGCAGCTCTTTGGGGAGCCAGAGCATGTAAGGCTCCAGCAAGAAGCGCACGTCGGTCTCCCACTTGGCGAGGAGTTTGGCTTTGGTATCAATGTGGTTGTCGGAGAGCGCGCGCACAATCGAAACAATGCGCTCCTGCGCCCACGTCTTGTTTAGCACGTTGGGGCGACTGACAAGCTCGGGCTCAAACTGAGCGAATCCTGGCAAGATTTTGCCCTCGAGCAGCAGGCGACCAAACCAGCGGTATCGCTCGCCGCCTGCGGGAAAGTCCATCTCCTGCGCCGGGATGGACCAGTTGCGCTGTCCGTACGTGCCGGAAATGTAGCAACGCAAGCGGTCAGTCGCAGCGTCATAACGGGGCATGGGCAGCTCCAGTGGCTTTGAAAGCACGCTCAGCGCCGGGCAAATCACGGGCAGCCAGAGGGGGTCAATCGCCGTCACGCCGCGCATGTATAGCCTTGGCTGCTGGTTGGGGTTGGAGGCTTTGGCAGCAGCACGCGTGAGCTCGTGGTACACGACGAATAGCGGCGGATTGGCGCGCGGCATAAAGCTGGACGGATGGATAAAGACGGGCTCGTCGGTGGCAGAGCAGAGATACGGCACCAGTCGGGCCGAGTTTTTGCCGTAAACAGCAATCTCCTCGCTGCGCCGAGCAACGCAGTCACCAAACCCGGCAAGCACTATTTGCTTGAGCAGCTTGGACTGGACAGGCGAGGGAGGCTTGATTTTGCCAGTGGCCTTGAGCGGGGCTTGGTTTGGGGCGGATTGGCGCTGGAGTGCATTGACGACATCCACCAATTGGGAACGGAGCTTGCGAGCTTCCACAAGCGCCTTGTAGCGCAAGCAGTGTGCCAGGCAAAACTTTTCGTCGGCGGTTCCAAATTCGAACGCCCCAACAGCAGCGAGCATCACGAGCAAGTCCGACTCGAGGGACTGGGCAATGGCGCCCCATTGCTGTCGCACAGACATGGCTGCGCGGGCGGCGGCGGCGTTGGAGGCGGACACAGTCGAGTCGGCCGACTTTCGGGCAATGCCCAGCTGCCGCATGGCCGTCTGTGCTTCCTGGTCTTCCTCTTCCTGCTGCATGATCTCGGCGCGTTGCGTGTCCAAGGTGAAGAGATCGCGGACGGACAGCGCAGAAACGAGCGACACGACCAGCGGCAGCATATCGTGCTGGCGGGCAAGCATGAGCATTTTGGCGTAGCGAGGCAGCACGGGCAGCTGCGACATGGCGCGACCCACTTCGCTGACGTGCTTTGTGGTAGACTCGATAGCGCCGAGACTTGTAAGCAAGCGCTCGGCAGCGGCCAAGCCACTGCGATCGGGCGGTGTCGGGAAAGGGAAGTTGACCACATTGTCAATGCCCATGTTCTTCATCTGCAGGTACAGACCCTCGATGGGCATTCGCTCGATTTCGGGCGGAGAGAACTGCTGGAACTCGTGCTCAAAGACAGCCGAGGAGTACAGCCGATAGCAATGACCAGGTCCGGTACGGCCCGCACGACCAGCGCGTTGATTCGCGGCAGCCTTGGAAACCCACTCGACGGCAAATGACGAGATGCCAGTGGTGCGATCAAACTGGCGCTCCTTGACCTTGCCAGTGTCAACGACGTATCGGATGCCAGGGATGGTCAGCGAAGTCTCGGCAACATTGGTGGCAATCACACACAAACGCGTTCCGGCCGGAGGATCCTGGAAGACACGCATTTGCTGAGCCGATGGCAACAGAGAGTACAGCGGGAGGATGTGCAGGCCAAGGTCGTTATCAGACAGCGTTTCGCGGCGGGCAGGCGCGGGCTTCTTGCTACTAGACGGCGAGGCCGACGACGGCGCCGAGTCCGCAGCGCTCACAGTTGAAGGGCCTTCTTCGTTAGTGGAAGAGTCAGTCGTGCGCATGACATTCGCAAGGCTGAACGGATTGTCCAGTGCAACCGTGTCGTCTTCCTCGTCACCCATATCGAAACCATCCTCGTCGTCAAAGTCGCTGGTATACTCGTTGTCCGAGCCACTGGAAACATCCATGTCGTCCTGGTCGTCGGCATCGGAGGCATCGGAGTCATCCTCGGTGCGTCGAGACACACTGGGCGAGGCCTTGGCAGCTGCAGATCCGCCTGGAGCTGCTGGGCGATGTTGCATCTGGTCAATCAGCTCCGCCACACCACCGGCCAGCTGTTCAGTGGGTGAAATGTCGTTCTCGCCAGTGCCGGACTCGAAAAGGTCTCCAGAGGTTGACTCGTCCTTGGTCGAAGAAGAAGCAGCAGAGGCAGAAGCTGGGCTGCTCGCAATCGCTCGAGCTGCCGCGGCGGTGGCTGCAACGGAACGGCCGTGCTCGGTCGCCTCCCGCAGACGCTCCAGTGCCCGCTTGCTGGCCTTGGCTGGGAAGACGTCGCGGAGCTTGCGGGCGAGATCGGCAATTTCCTGCTGGCCAGTCACGAAAATCAAAATGCCACCTGGAGGCAGCCGGCGATGAATCTTGCACACCTTGTTGAACGCCTCAGTCACATAGTCCTTGGGCGGCGTCCGCTTGTTAAAGTGCACCGTGACGGGATACTGGCGCGAGTCGACAGACAAGACTGGAGGCGGTCCGGACGGGAAGAGCCGTGCGTTGCTCGTAAAGTCCTCAACACGCAGTGTTGCAGACATGATGACAAGTTTGAGCGGTTGGAGTCGTGCGGTCGCCTTGTCGGCAAGGGGTTGGCGCAGTTGCTCGCGAGAAAGCTCTGCGCGGAGCGGAACAATGCGCGACAGCAGGCCAATCAGAATGTCCGTGTTGATGCTGCGCTCGTGAGCCTCGTCAATGATAATGACCGAGTATTTCCGAAGGAGAAAGTCGTTCTCAATCTCACGCAAGAGCACACCATCCGTCATGAACTTGATGCGCGTGTCGTTTGACACGGTGCCCTCGTAGCGGATTTGATACGACACCTGTCGCTCTGACAAGCAGAGTTCGCCAGCAACGCGCCGGGCCATGCTGACAGCGGCGACTCGGCGAGGCTCGGTCACTCCAATCAGCCCTGGGTGGGGGCTCTTGGGGTTGAGGCTGCCGTAGCCTGCCTCGTACAAGAATTGGGGTGTTTGGGTGGTTTTGCCAGAGCCAGTTTCACCGCACAAGATGAGCACGTCGTTTTCCGTGATGGCTTCCATAATGCGCTGTTCCTCTGCAAGAATCGGAAGCTGCAATCGGGCTGCTTGAATGTGTTCGGGGCGCTTGACAGTCACGTAAAAGGCGGGTTTGGAAGGGACTGGTGTGGCTTCGGCGGGTGCTGCTGCTGGTGGTGGTGTTGCTGTGGTTGCTGTGGCTGTTGTTGTTGTTGTTGTTGGTGTTACAATGGAACGATCAGCGGCAGGCTGCGACGTTGTTGCTGTTGTTGTTCGAACTTGGGCCATCTTCTTCTCCTCTGCGTCGTCTTGTGCTGCTTCTTCCTCGTCCTCATCTTCATCTTCCTCGCTGGAAGAGCTGGAGGATGACGATGACTCAACCGGCGGTGGAGCAGCGGCGGCAGCAGACGAAGGAGCCTTCAGCTTCATTGACATTTGCTGCAAACGTGACATTTCAGCCTTTCGTTGGACATCTCGCTGCGCGTTGCTGACACTGCCATTGGCAGTAGTGCCGGTGACTGGTGCCTTTTTCACGGCGGCCGGAGCACCTTTGAGGCTGTTTCGAGCGGCGGCTTGAGCTGCAGGGGACAGGGTCTGCGGTGCGGCCGCCCAATTCGCCAGCGCAGCCAAACTCATGGACGAAGAAGTATTGAACGCAGCCCCATTCGCTTTGAAAGCCCGCGGAGTGCCGTCGTCGTCGTCGTCGTCGTCGTCGTCGTCGTCGTCGTCGTCGTCATCATCATCATCAGCATCATCGCCGTCGTCGCCGCTGTCATTGTCGCTGCCCTCTCCCGCGGCCACACGCGGAACGTACAGGGATGCCTTGGGGCCGAGTTCCTGTGCGTCTTGGGCCGCGAACGAGAGACCAACGCGCTCTTCAACGAGCTGGCGTTTGAGCAGCTGTTTGGTCGTCTCCTTTGAGTGGCCGAGCTTGGATGACGACTTCAACAAGTTGAGTTGGCCAGAAGGCAACGCAGACATGGCCAGTGACTCGAGCAAGGCCGATCGCTGCGCAGCCTTCTGCTTCTTGCTGAGAATGGCTTCGAGCCGCCGTCGCTGCTTGGTGGACAGGCGCGGCCGTTTGCTGTCGTCATTGTCCTGCGATTCCGCCGCGCGTTTGCTGGCCTTTCTTGACCCTGGCATCACAAGTGCATTGCTGCCATCCGCCTGTTGTGCATCAAAGTCGATAGCCACAAGCGAGGCAGAGGAGCCAGCAGCAGTGCCAAAGTCGCTCGAGGTCATCATCGGGACTGCCGCTCCGCCCAGACTGCTCCCAGAACCCGACAAATCGCTGTGCGTGGGCTGCATTGAGCTTGACGTGACAGCGCGGGAGCCTCCAGCAAGCGCATCCACGTCCACGAGGACCACGTGTGGCGCAGCTGCAGCGGCGGCGGCGGCGGCGCGCTTGGCCTTGGCGCCAGCTTTCGTCGCGCTGTGCGGCTTGCTTTGGGTGGCACTGGTGCCTGTGAGTGGTTTCTGGGCGCTTGGCGAGCCGGTCGCGGTCGAGGCGTTCGCAGGCGACAGGAGCTTGAGCGCGCTCGCCACTTTGGCGGCCTGTGCAGCCGGTGCAGTGGATCCCGCTGCGCCTACGCTGGTACCAGTGTGCTTCTTGGACGCGTGTGCAACTGCTGGCATCGCCGACCCGGGCAGCACCGACGCGCCCGAGGTGCGCTTGCTTTGGCGGCCTTTCGCGTTGAATCCAACTCGGTTTTTGGCCATTTGCGTTTCCGCCTTCTCAGTCAAAGAGGGATCTGATGAAAAAAAAAAAAAACAAAGAGAAGAGTGAGTGGGGAGAAAAGTGTAGCAAGCGTGGAGATCTTGTCAGTGGTTGGCCCATTGCTCAGTATTGGTGTGTGTAACTTTTGGAGCGATTGGCAAAGCGCTCTGTTGCCAACAGAAGTGAGCTCAAATCGGTCACTTCCCTTACTTGTACCGCTGGCAGTCTTGCGGCACTCGGTCCCCGCTGCACACCAATGCGTGTCAAAAATCATTCAAATGTAATACAAGTGAGCGCTGACGTCAAGCGTGCGGTGTGCGCTGAAAAACGAGCGTTGATCGGTCGTAGCGTTGTTTGTCGCGATGGGTATCACTTCCGCGAGCTTGATACCGGCCTGCGATAAAAATTGTGAAGGGTGGTGATTAGCGCATTCATTGTCAGGTAGTTATGCTCAAATAATGTCGCAGCAGTTCCAGTCCAGCGGCAGTAACAGCACGGAAACATAGTGTTCAAAGAACGCCTGCGGCCGGCTTCATTTTTCGCGAATGTTCGCTTCAAAATGACAGAAACCGCGCCCCGCACACCAGAATACAACATGGCGTTAGGACGACCACTCATTCTAGTATCATTCAAAGCAACGAGCGGGGCAAAAGAGGCCAATGCAGCGACAGGACAGGCGATAACACGAAACGAGTGAGCTTGTCCTCACCATTTGCATGTCTTTTCGCGGTGTTTCGTGCTTCTTTTCTCGACTTGTAGTATTCTGAGATATAATGACATATTGTCCAATCGAGATACGCGCGATTGGAGGAGGATGAAAACGTGTAGTTTCATGCCTGCGATCGAATCCCATTTCGCCCAGCGTTCACTTCGAGCTGTCTCGACCAAGCGTCTTGGTGCTTTTTGCTTTCTTTTTGCTACTGGGTTCGAACATGTTTGGTTGCGCTTTCTTTTTTGATTTTATTTTACTTTGTATTACTGAGCGGCCTCGTCTTTGCCAAGTTTGTTCCAAATGCGGTACGCGCTTCCCTCAACCGTACTGTATACTTTGATTTTGACTTGAGCAATTGAGCAATTGCTGTCAATGAGATGCTGGATCCAAATCTGATAAGCTTGGCTCAGTCATTCAATCTCTTTACTCGTTTCCCTTGAAAGCGAGCTGATTTCGAGTTTTTTTTTTTTTTTTTCAACTCCCCCTCTCTTCTTCTTGTGTTCGGGACTGCGCCTTCCTTGGTATCACATGGCGTTGAGGCGTACAACAACGGAAGCAGGGCTCGACGAAGACGAAGCAGCTACTCGCAAGGCGGTAAGGAGCAGTCAGAGTCTCGTCTTCATCGCCCCTCGAGTTGGCCTTGTAATGGCAACCGCGTGCACAACCGCTTTTTTTTTTTTTTTTTTTTGCTTTTTTTTTCTCTCTCTCGCTTTGTTCTCCGTGCCGTCTCGTCTTTCCAAACCCCCCTCCGTTCTTCTGTGGGCGGTTGTGTGAATGGCTTTCGCTTTCAGTCTCAAGTGAGAGGGCCCGTGACCAACTGCGAACCAAACGACTAACTTTTTTTTTGTTTTCGCTTGCTTTTATGTTTGTTTGTTTGTTTGTTTGTTTGTTTGTTTGCGTGCTTTTGCTCGTCACCTGAGTCAGGTTGCTCTCGATCAAAGTTTCAGGTATGCTGTAGATGTCTTGATGCTTTGATTTGAGTTGACTGACGTTGCTTCCGTTGCATTCTGCTGACAGCGAGCGGTTGAAAGCATTGGCCGCATGTCTTGGCGTCTTGGACAATGTCGATTTGACCTCGATTTCTTCCATTTCCGACAAACCTGCCCAGCGCGCTGCCCTCCAGCAGATCTTGCAACGTTGTCAAGCCAGCGCAGAAGTCGTGGTCACTGAGAGTCAGAAAGCTGATGCCGCAGCTGCACTCCAGGAGCTGGGAGTGCCCAACCAAAATGAGGAGTTGGTCGAGTACAACAGAGTCGGAGCCAGATTGCTCAAAGCGCTCAACGCAGAGCTTGACGACAGGGTTCGTTTTGACCAAGCACTACGAGAGGCCGAGCGACGGGAACAAGCGGCCGAGCGACGGCAACGAGAGGCCGAGCGACAGCGACAAGAGGCCGAGCGGCAGCGACAAGAGGCCGAGCGACAGCGACAAGAAGTCGAGCGACAGCTTCAAGAAGCCGAGCGACAGCTACAAGAAGCCAAGAGACGGCGACAAGCGGCCGAGCAACTGATACAAAACCTGCGGGAGCTACCCCCTTGTGAGCCTTCGCTGGGATGTTGGCGAGTTGGTTGGGTTGTTTTCGGCATTTCTAACACGTTTGGCTTGTCTTTGCTTGAAATGTCGCACATCAGACAATGATCCTGCTGAGGCCATCGCCGCTCTGAAAGCGGCCGTTGACGAAGGACAGTTTCCTCCACTTGAACTGCCTGCTCAAGCTCCTGCGCCCAGAACATTTCTAGCCCGTCCTGTTGCGACCAACCACATGTTGCGCTACATCGCGAGGTCGGTTTTCGGCGTTCGTACGGAGCGGGGGAACTTTCCTGTGCTCCGCGTAAACACAATTAGTGGCTGCGGCAAAACAACCTTCGGCCAGCATGCAATCTCCGAGGTTCTCAACCTTCTGCGTCAGCCTCAACAGAATCTTACTCTCACACCTGAGCAGCAAACGTATCTCGTTTCCCTCCTTGAGAACTCCTTGCAACTCTTCATCGACTTCAATGGAGGTGATGCGATTCTCCCGGCTGATCGTGTTACATCGAATTCTCATCTGATTCTCCCTGTTCGGCTGGCCGCTCGTGGTCTTTGCGGCCAATCATTGACACGCGCCGCGAGCAACCGCATTTTCTGTGCCTCTTGGTCTACGCTCTCCACAGATGTCGTTCTCGACGCTATCGTGGCACGCTATCGGCAGCAAAACCCGCAGCTCGCTCAGCAGCGAGTATTGATCTTTGTCCACATTGACGAGTTTCAACTGATGGCGCCAGCCATGTCTCCGGTACTGACGTCTGAGGACGCAAATCACTGGCTCAAGCAGGCAGTCCAAGAGATCGTTGGGTACAATACCCGCCAAGACCGAGCCGTTGTGATTTTGCTTCTCACCAGTACTGCATCCAGCGGCATGACGTTTAATATCACGCGCCACACAGTAATACCGGTCAACCTTGTTCCCTTCGACCTGGACACTTCCATCTTGTTGCTCCGGAGCATGAATGTTCATCCATCGTGGTGTGAACTCTTTGAATTTCGGCGGCTGATCCGTGACCTTGGCGGCCTTCCTGCTCTACTTACAACGTTGGTAGAGAGACATCCTGAGTTGCAACAACCGTTCACCCCTTCGGTCAACATGTCGAGTGTGCAGAACATCAGCTGTGTCATCGACATGCTCGGATCTTCCATGACTGCTGCCGTCTTGAGCCGATGCCCGCCTGATGTTTCAGCGGGGATGATCACTGCCAGCGGTTTCGAGACTTTGGTTGAACTTTCGTTCGCCAACCTTCCGATCTTTGAGGAGACTGAGATTGGTACTACCACCGTGGCGGCACTTGCCCACCGTGGCATTATTGTCACGACTTATCCCGATGACAACCTCCCTCAAAACCTCGATGAAAACCTCGATGAAAACCTCGATGACAACCTCCCTCAAAACCTCCCTCGAAGCGTCGAAGGAAGGGGTATCGTCATCCGGATGCCAGTTGCCATGCTGTCTGTGCTTGCGGGCCGGTTTATGAGCGGCCATTTAACTTACACGTCAATCGCGATGTCAAAATTCCCTCGAGTGGCTGGCGGCGACGGCGTGGCATTTGAGGCGTTTGTTCTGTTTTCGGTGGCCAGCCGTCTGAACATGATTCGTTCATGGCTGCTGGCCGCTGCTCGACCAGCGCGCGATCCTCAAGCCGATCCGCCCATCGCCGTGCCTCGGCTTCACCATGTTCTCGGTCTTCAATCCAATGCGCTGCGAGGCAGTGCGCCACGTGGCCTCTTGAATATCGAGCTTGATCTTCGAAACCCTGGCAACATGGCCGAGGCGCAACGTTTTGAATTTTTCAAAGAGCAGCATCAGTTCATCACCAACCGCCACGTTGTCCATTCCGCCCAAAGTCCTTCTGCAACCCTGTCTTTCTCAACAAATGCCTCGGCGTCTGATACGGTCACATGGGATGCAGTGGACATACTTGGTGCGGGTCCCAGCCACCCTGTGTTTCAGTGCGCAAATTCAACAACCGGCGTAGATGGGCGTGTTGCCTTGCGACGCGTCGCAGGTGGCGCGAGGCCCGTGATGATCCTCTTCCAGATGAAGGATGTGAGCACATCTCGGGAAGAGCTGCCGTCTGCATCGCAACGGGCTTCGGATATTGCTCGGACTCTGGCCGATCTGGACCGCTCGGCACTCGGCGGAGTTTATGATTTTGTGCTTGTGTTGGCGTTCAGTGGCAACGCAACGCGAGCATGGGCGAAGGACGTTCGCAACGGCAATGACCGTGTCATTGTTCTGATTGGTGATGACATTGCCTGTTTGTGCCCGATGTTCTAAGCTCAGCTTTATTGTTGTCTGCCGCGACAATCCCCAGTTGCCCATGACACAGCACCGTCCTGTTGGCTTTTTCGACCCCCGTTTGTGAGACTCCGGTTGGGCGTTAGAACTATTGGCCAGGTAAGGTCGATTGATTGATACAAAATGCGCAATGACCACTATTTCACAGTATCCAAATATATCAGAATATTCTAAATCTTCTTTAACTACCACCGGCTAGCCTCGCCGGCTGGACGGACGCAAACTCGGGTCCTGACACCGTTGCACTTCTAATTTGCTTGTGTGAGTTATTTGTGCACTTGGAAAGAAGGCGAACGGGATTGGCGAGACTTGATTTCACTCGGTTTCATCACATGTGGAGTAAATGTCGCCCTGTCAGCCCTATGACCAAACGGGACTGGTCCGCCCATTTTTTGCCCATGAGTTTGCTTAATATTGTAGGTGGGACGAATTTAGGTGGCGGGTCTGGAGGCTGATACGCTCAGATCGGCAATCAACCCCGCCGCCCACTTTCAACCGAGCCCCCTGAGATGGCATCTCGACTTCATGCTCCTTTCTCTCGTTTCGTCCAACCTACGAATATAACTACATGCATCCTGAAAGTGGCGGCGAGTAGGATTGAAATCCCTAGAAAAAAAAAATCGGGACACGTTCAACCTGTCCGCATTCGGAACGCGGATTCACTTCTGAAACGCCATGTCCTCAGTTCCAGACTTCAGGTTTACACAGCAAAAAAATCATCATCATCATCATGATCATCTTCTTGTGCACTTGCATCGAGACTTGTTACTACATTGCGAGGCTTCAGAAGCCCGAGTCGCGACAACACCTCGACTTTGACTGGGGAAATACAATGGAAAGGGTTTCAAAAAAAAAAAAAAAAAAAAAAAAGACGAGATCTTGATCGTCTCCATCATTGTGTCGCTCCCACTGGCCAGACCATCGCATCGTCATCACTCACTCACTCACTCACTCATGTGCTTGTCCTTGTCCTTGCCGTTGCTGCTTGGTTAGTCTCCAGCCGCCAGACACGCGGTGGTTTACAGAGCGAGTGCTCTACGCACGCGCGATTGCCGCTTACGTCTGGTTTGCCTGCCTCATGGCGCCGCTGTGCCTCGCTGTGAACGCCGTGCTGTGGCAGTATGGCCCCTTGTACCCATGGGCAACCATCTATGATGCGATCGCGGGCGTCATCTCGCTCGAGTCGCGCTTCTTGAGCCAGCTGGTTGGCCTCCTCTGCTTCCAGTTGCCCTTCTTTGCGACCGTCGGTGGGTTTATCGCAAGCATCGTCCGCACGGTGGCGAGCCTGTTCCCAATCGAATACGTTGCTGGCGGCATTGCGGCGATCGTGCTCAACGCAGCTCTGGCGACCGTCCAGCTGTCGCTGTTCTCTGGTAAGCAAGTCCGTTCTCGTCTCTATCATGTAATCGCACGCACTCACCTTGCACTTGCATTTGGCGTTTGCTGCACAATGACCGTGGCAGTGGCACCGACGGTTCGGTCGACAACGCTGCGAAATACGGCCCTCTTGCTCCACCCTGCGCGGTTGGCGTTTGCCCTACTGCATGGTGTTGTTGCCATTGTGACTGCGTGGATGTTTTATGCATCGTTGGATGTGCCTCTTGTTGACGATCGCCTGGTCGAGGCCATCACTGTGCACGGCGTGGTTGAGACGTCCAACCCGGAGCCGCAGTCGATCGAGGATTTGGATGCCGTGCACGAGTACTATCACACCCTCGACGCCAACAGCCTTCTGCTGTTCTTTGCAGCGTTCTTGCTCGGCCTGGTGCACACCTTTTTGTTTTTCTCCAGGCAGCAGCAGCAGGTCACATTCCCGCTGCTGTCCCAGCGACGAATTTTTGCCATCAAGGCGAGCCTGGGCACCAGCTTTTTCGAGGCACTTGGTGTGACCTTTTTCGTGCTGTTGGGTGTGTATCTGCTGTTTGGATTGTTTGGTCGCACGATTCTGAGCCTGCTCTTCAGCACTCGCTTCGTCCCCCGGTACCTGTCCATGTACAGCGCCGCCTACGTGCCTCTGGGCCACGACGGCTCCGTCGGAGTTGTCCTGGACCACATGACCCTTTCCAGCCCTCTCCTCTTCCTGCGAACATGGCTGCTCGTTCTTACGCCGATCGTCACCCTGTGGAATCTTCGGCAAGCACTCTTCAACATTTTCCTCAGCCAGCCGCTGCCCTTCCCGCTTGTCGCGCAGGATGCCAGCGAGCGATCTCAGACCATTTTGGCGGGTTTGGCCGCTGCACGCAACCCTGCGCCGACACCCGGTGGCCGTCCTACCAACGAGACGGGCGATGGTATTGGCCGCGCGACGGCGGACAATTCTCGCGCTCTCTTGCGTCTTTTGGCGTTCCAAGATCTTGTTCGGCAATTGTCTCAGTCGGACGAGGCTCGTGAGGTTGTGTACCGCGCGGGGCAGCCTTCCGCATCGCTTGGCAGCACGTCGTCTGGCCCGACGCTCATCAAGCGTCTGGTGGCCGAATGCACGCTTGTTCTTGCCACGCTGTCGTCAAAGTTGGCCGCTACCTTGCCCATGTCGAGCAACGGCGCCAACGACGACTTTGACGAGTTTGCGGCCAAGGTGGCCGCGCTTGACGAGGTTCCTGAAACGGCCGCCGCAGCCGCCCCAGCGCAACCCAGTCTCCTGCTTTCGACAGAGGAGCCATTTGGACTCTGGGCGCTAATCAACTCCATCATAACGCCTCGTCGTTGGCTGCGAGAACTGTGGCAGGGGATGTCGTCGCAACCAGCGCCACGCTTCTTGCTTGCGCCCGTGCCCCCACCACGGCAAGTCACATCGCCCTTCCAACTAACAAGGCCGCCGCCAGCCGCACAACCGCAGCAGCCATCCGAGTCATTCTTCTCCAAGCTACGGCCGTCGTTCCTGGTCGGGCTAGCGTGGGCTCGGTGGTACAAGTTTGTCAATCTGCTCGCATCGTCGTCATGGACGGCGTTTGCACGGCAAGAGCCTCAGCAACTCAAGGTGGCCGTTCTCTTCTCAGAGCTCCAACTCACCCTGTTTGCAGCCGAGGCGCTTTCATTCATTGCGTGCCATGCCCTGGACGAAGATAGCGTTGGAGGGTCGCGCGAGCAAATTGTGCCAATCGTCGTGTCTCTTCTTGATTTGCTGAACAGCGTTGAGACCCAGGGCCGCGCCGCGCTCGTTCGATTGCAAGGTTCTGGTGCGTCACGGCAGCACCCACTGGCAATGAGCAATTGTAAGAAGTTCTGTGTGTTTGATTTGGATTGCGAGTGGTTTTTTTTTTGGCTTGTTTGGTTCTGATTTCGCGTGAAAAATGCCCGCTTGGTTGTCCCAGGTTTGAAAACATGTCTGTACCGCATCACACTTGCGTTTGGAGATTCTATTTTGCAGTATGATCTCCCGCGCACACACTCTCAGCGGCTGCAGCCGTTTTTGGAGTTCCGCGAGTAACAGAAGGACCTGGGCACTCTACGCCATTGGGGGTGACGAGATTTAGTTGTCAAATGGTTGTAATGGCTGTGATGAATGTGATGAATGTGTGGATGTACTTATCAAAGAAACAAAGAAAAAGAAACCGGATCGAATATTAATATTTTGACAAGCAGGATCGAAACGCCTACCCACAACAACAACAACAACAACAACAACAACAACAACAACAACAACAACAGCATCAACAGAAAACAATGCATCAGACAACGTGCATGGTGGAAAACAGGTAATTTACAAACTCGCGATTGGTAATGTGGTGGTCGACGAGCAACACAACACAGTCGAGAAAGATCAGCAGCTCGGAGAGCGCGAGATCCGGCAGATATGACACGATTTCGCCGGAATGGTGGTGCTTGCGACGATGGGCGTCAGAGTACGCGCTGGACGCGAGCATGGCGCCGATGGACGACGCGGGAGGGTTGGCAGTCGCCAGCGACCGGTACTTTTCAAGAATAAACCGCAGGTCTGCAATGGATAGAACAAGGGCAGTCGAGGCTGTCGGTGCCGTGGCGTGCACAGGGATGGAAACGGGCAGGGCTGCAGCGGCTCGAGCACTCGGATCTGGCTGATGCCGGAGTACTTGGGTGGGAGGCGCAAAGTGTGGGTGGTGTGCAGCCAGCAGCGTCGAAATCACCTCAAGCAGGGTGCAGCAGGTGCGCACTTGCAATTTGGTCAGGACTGGCGCAAGCACAGTGGCAGCCTTCTGGTAGATGCCAAGTTTGTCCGCATCTCTGCTTCGAGCAGCGGATGCGAACGCTAGTCCTCCAGCAACGGCGCGTGCGGGAAAATGCGGAACACTCCCGAGTAGTTGATGTTGCTGTTGCTGTTGTTGCTGTTGTTGGCGGGGGACTGCACGAGCGGCAGGTGGCGAGACGCTGGTGGTGGAATTTGCAGTTGCAGGTGCCGCGCCTGCAAATCCCGCGCCTACTCCGGGCGGTGTCTGTCCAAGTGGTGACCCTGGGCGGTTGAACAGTGCTCGACGAAAGCTGGGTGACGGCGTGTTGTCTGGTGTAGGCATTGCGGTTGTCTGTTTGTTTGTGTGATCGCCAGCGACGTGGCCTCGCGTGTCCATTGGGGGCGATGTGCCATGCATCACAGAGCTGCTGGTACTCGTCTTTGTGGGAGACGCATCTGGCGACGTAAATGTGAGGCGTCCCTTGAGTTTGCGGGCTGACGATGGGGACACGTCCATTCGCGGGCGTTTTGTTGGCGAGGCATCTAATGGTTGTTGCTGTTGCTGTTGTGGCTGCTGTGGTGGTTGGTGTGCTTGTTGTTGTGGTTGTTGTGCTTGTGGTTGTTGAGGTTGCTGCTGTGGTGGTTGTCGAGGTTGTGGCGACTGATTTTGAGGTTGAGCTTGTTGGATCGGCCGCTGCACTGGCAATTGTTGCGGTTGCTGTGATGTTGGTCGACTCGTGGCTGGGAGAGTTGACATGGATATCTCGCCTTCTTGCTCGGATGCCGGGTGGTTGGGCTGGCTGTCAAGCCAAATGACCTCGCCTTGCGGCGGCGCTGCCTCGGATTCTGCATGCGTGCGCTTGGCTGGCGATTTGCGCAACTGAGGCGCAGCGGCAGCGGCTTCTCCAGCTTGACCCTGGGACTGCAAGAAGGGCGGGGACGACACGAGCGGGGATTGAATGTGCGGTTGGGGTGACATGGATGCGATTGATGAAATTGACAAGCTTGTCACCGCGGCTGCAGCTTCTCCGACAAACGCCAGCACGCGCGACTCGCCGCCGGGCAGCTCGGGCACACGTCCAACCAGCGACAAGCGACGCACAGACGGCCCAGTCCGACCCGCGGCGAGCACCGTCCGCACTGGCACCGGCGTGGTGGGTTTTGGCTGCTGCTGCGGCTGCTGCTCGAGCTGCTCGATTGCAAGCAAGCACACCTCGTCCAACTCCGCGCTGTCCTCTGCTTCGCACGCCACCCGCTGCGGCGACCCGCTTCGGCCACGCTGCTGACCCAGCGCTGCAGGGGAGGCGTCGGTGGGCCGAGCGTCGGCGGGTGCTGCGGATGACGTGAGCGCGGGAAAACTCGTGGAAGCTTGTTTCAGATTGGTTGTTTCACTCTCTTGCAAGTTCAACGCCGAGACCGACGCTGCAACAGCACGGCTTGCGACGTCTGCCGCGCTGGTGCCTGGAGTGCTGATTGTTGCCGTGGGACGCACTCTTGCGGATTCAAGGGGGTGTGTGCGCGGATTGCGGGGTGGACTGCTGCTGCTGCTGCTGCTCTTGCAAACTGGCGAGCAGTTTTGCAACACTGACCGATCGTCGCGCTCCGGCACCGATGCAGCCACAACTGTCGTTGATGATGATGATGATGCAATGGTCAAGCTGGATGCCTTGTCTTGGAGGAGAGTGGCATGGCGCAGGGCGGCCATCGCTGCGGTGGACGCTGCGCGCACGTCCGGTCCTGTCTGTGTCAAAACACTCAACGGCTGGGCAGCGTACGGCGACGACCTCAGCAAGCTGCTCTGTGCACACGATATCTGCGACGACGACGTTGATGACTGTGTTGATTGCGAGAAGAGCGGTTCACGGAAGGTGACGCGTTTCTTCAACATGAGTGAAAAGAAAAAAAAAAAGAGTGGTTTTGCACGAAATTTGGTTGGCGCCAAAAAGGACAAAAAGACAAAAGAACAGAGTGATCAATAAAGTGTACTTGACTCGGTTCAGACAGCAGCACGGCGCAGAACAAAAAAAAAATACAGCAAAGGCTGCACGCACGAATAAACTCGAGTATCAAAACCCAGAAAGTGTCTCGAGACCAGCGAAATCAGCAAAAAAACAAGAGGCGTTCTTATGCGATGGCACGGCTGAAGACGATAGCAAGGAACTGTGACAGAGCAAAAAAAGAAACAATCGTTCAAAAACACTGAGTTGTCCTTTTTCGCTCGTTGAACCCAAAAAAATCAAGCTGCTTCGTGTCACTCACCTGCTCAAAGCCAAAGCGAGCAAAGCCATTCTGATTCGGGTACAAGGAGCCAAGGGGAGCAGGGAGTGAGAGCGCAAAGCTACAGCAAAACGAACAAACAAAACAAAAACATTTGCTTGCACAACTCACTCGCTCGGTGTCGGCCTGCGCAAACGACTCGGAAAGGCCCTTGATGAGCACACAGGTCTGGATAAAGTCATCAAAGCGAATGCCCGAGCCGGCTGGAAAGGAGAAAACAACACCAATCACACAAACAAAAATGAAACAAGAACATGAGCACACAATTGAAGAAGAATGAGTCCACGGCACAGCTATTGACATTCAAAAGCACTCACAAGTGCGGTCGAACTTGCGGACGACCAGCTGCGAGAACTGCGGCGAAAGGTGGTAGCCAAAAGTCTGCAGGGCGGTTTGGAGTTCGCTCGCCTCAATCGTGCCAGATCGATCTGATGAGCCGAACAAGCAAGTTGGAGGGGATTCGAGTCAGTGGGTGGAGATTGTAGGCAATAGGTCTCCGAAAAACAGCGAGAAAGAAAAAAGAAGGGAAGAAACAAGCACACAAATGGTCCTTTACCGCGATCGAAGCGATCAAAGCAGGCCTTCCAATCCTGAATGTACTTCCACAGGCCAGAGAACTCTGAGGACAAGACACATCACAAATGAGGAGACGGAATGGCAAAACTACAAACCGTTCTTTGCATTTCCGCAAGCGTTTCGCTCGTGTTTGCTTTGGTGGAAGCGTTCTGCCTCACCCAAAAAGTTGATGGTGCCAGAGCGGTCAGTGTCGAACAGGCCAATCATCATTCGGCAGGTGGTATCGTTGAAGGGCGACCAGTTGCCGTTGACCAATGCTTGCTTGAGCTCGTTGGCATCAATCTGTCCACTGCGGTCCGTGTCGACGGCCTTTTTTTGGACACCAATAAAGAATCACGACAGAGACTCAGCGTGAGCTATTATTGCCCAATCTTTCCGACAATGGTGACGGGGGTGCCTCGTTCACCGATGATGAGCGTGACGTCAGAAGGCCAAAGCCAAAGCCAAAGCCAACGCCAAAGCGAACGGGCGCGTTTACAAAATGGACGAGGCGCGACTCTGCCTTACCATAAACCATGCCCAGAGGGTCGGATCGCAGTTTGGCGGCATGACTGGGTTGTTGCGCTGGGGAGGCAGAACCTGTCCGTAACGAGGCGGCGGCTGTTGCTGGCCGTATCCCTGCGCACCCCCCGAGCCGTCAAATCACACAGCGACAACGAGACAGATCAGCAATCAATCCAATCGAACCGTTCAAGCGCGCGCGGGGATGAAGCTGGAGAGGAAGGCCGTTAGGTTGCGAAGGGGCGGTTTGTTCGTGTGGACTTGCCTGCTGCGGCGGGTAGCCTTGCTGAGGCGGGTAGCCCTGTTGAGGCGGGTATCCCTGCTGCTGCTGCTGGGGTGGGTAGCCCTGCTGCGGCGGGTAGCCTTGCGGGGGATAGCCTTGCTGCGGTCGGTACGACATGTGATTGATGTGTGTTTTGAAAAACAAACAAACAAAAAAGGGAGTGAATTCAAAAAATCTCAGAAGAACAGAGAATTAGGTAAAATCAGGGATTCAACGACCAACAAACCCCCCTAAAACACCCCACGATAGATCAACATCCATCCATCCATGGCAACAATCGCAATCGCAATGGTTCAACAAGCAACGCGTTCCTCCACACAACGCGGGGTTCTCTACAGACAAGATGTCTTCCTTCTTACAGACAGACAGACAGACGGACAGACAGGGTGCTTTGCAAAACAACGAGAAGGGCTGAGTTTGCTTGCTCAGAAACTGGACAATCCACCACAAGCAGTGAACATGTCACAAAGACACAGATATGAAGACCACAGCAGAATAATTTCACTCTTCACTCTTCTCCTTTTGTTGTGAAGCAGAATAAGAAGGAGGGGATTTTGGTGGCATATGATGGGCCAGGGGCCGAGTCGAAGTATCCCGTCTGCTGCAGGCCGCCGCGCGCAATCCAAATCCACTGCCACCGCTGCGACTGCGACTGCGACTGCGACTGGTTTGATGACCAGCAGGACGACGCCATCGCGCCATGCAGACACAACCGCGATGAGCACGACGGCCAAGCGGAGAGAGCTCAACCTGCGCTTCCAGCGAGCCGTGAGCCAGCTCTTCGCGTCCGACCAGGACCTCTCGTGCGTGTGCGAAGAGTATCTCCGAAACGCAAAGGAACTCTGGCCGCCCGTGCATGTCCTCGACGGCGACTCGGACGCGGACCAAGACGACGACGTCGACGACCACGACAATGAAGTGGACGTCCAAGAGTCCGGGCGCTCTGTTCGTGCTCCATCTGCGAGCAGCGTTGAGCGACCGAGCAAGAAGCCTCGCATGGAGGAATTATCGTCATCATCTTCATCATCCTCATCATCATCCTCATCCTCATCGTCGTCGTCATCCGAGGGCGATGAGAAGCAATATCTGCCACTGACACAAGCGTCGTCAAGTTTGACGCCGTCGACCACAAGAACGGTGCAACCAGCCATCACTACTGCGGCCGAGTTGTTGCTGACGGCAAGATCCACGCGCAATCATGCAGGTGGTGCGAGCGAGAAGGTCCTCGTCACACGACTCAGCCCGCTGTTTGTGCTGGCCGGGTTTCTGAACTTTGCCTACGATGAGCGCACGGAGGGTCCGCTTGCCGCCCACGCGAATCTCTTGCAGCATGCCACGTTTGACGTGGAAACGTGGGTGCACTGGCCGCGGGACTGGATCCGACACGCTGCTGTTTGGCTGCCCAAGACTCTGGGCGACGCAGACGAGCTCGAGCTGTTCGCAGAGGTACTTCCCGAGATTGGCTTGTCGCTGCAACTGAAAACCTTCTACAACGGAGGCGAAGCCGTTGCAACACACAGGAGCACGCCGTTTCCTCGGCCGCTTGCCTTCCTCGTACTCCACCCGTCTCTCGGCTGCATTGGCGTGGTTGGATTGAAGAGGGATTGGATTCTAATCGATGGGAGACCAGGCCCATTGGTTTATCCAGGCTCCGAAAGCCGAGTTTGCACGTTTGACAGCCTGGAGAATGCCTATCGCGCCGCCATTCTGCTTTTTGATGGCGTCCAATCGCAAGTCCGCGAGATGGTCGTGCTCTTGCCAAACACCGCTCCGTTGGGTGAATTCCCAGTCTTTGCCAACAACAAGAACATGGAACCGAAGGCGGCCTCAACAACAACCACTTCTCGACATGCACCCGCCACCACTCTCCCGCAAACGCCTCCTCGTGCCTCTGATGCCAGCCAGTCATCCACACCCCGAGAACCTGCGACTCCGCGCTCGATCGCCGCACCAACCTCCTCGTCATCGCCAGCACCAAAGGCAGGTGTATTATCTCCTCGCGATCGCAATCACCAGCCGCCACCAATACAACTACACGACGACGACGACGACGACGACTTTGATGGCGTTGACATTGATCACAGCGACCGCAGTGATGGCAGCGGCGATGAATCCGACGTGTGGAATGAGTGTTCGGACAGAGTCGGGCGCCGACGAACGCCGTCTCCGCCCTCGGCTGCCCCGCCGCGACAATCGGCATCCACCACGCCCTCATCCCAGTCGTCAGTTTCAGCAACAGACACCCTTTTGGCCAGGGAACTCACGCCAAAGGAATTTGAACTACTTGACGGCTCTGGGTGGCTGAATGACCGTCTGATTGACGCGTACGGAGAGCTCCTGTGTCACGGAACACCCGGGTTGCACATTGCCACGACGTTTTTCTTTACCAGACTGCAAAATCGGGGCATCTCGCATGTTCGCACGTGGGAGACATCCATCCGCATTGGTCTCACTGCACCGAACGCGCAAGCGCGACTGGACGCTCTGTCTTCCGAGGCAGACGGCGGCGCAAAGCCAAAGTTCAAACATCCACGAGTGCCCGACCGTGTCATCATGATCCCCATCAATCGAGACAAGGCACACTGGGGCCTATTGGTTATTCTGCCAGAGCAAGCCCGGGTCGAGTACTGGGACTCGCAGCACATGTCTGGCAACGACCCGCTGAAACTCATCGAGCGTCTCCTTCGTCTATTGCGTCCAGACGTCAAGAATTGGGAGCTGGTTGATTGCGCGAAAGCGGCGAATCCCACAGCACGCACACCCGTTCAGCAAAACGGAAACGATTGCGGCGTGTTTGTGCTCGTTTTTGAGCGGCTCGTGCGACGCGCGTTCGTTGCCGGCGATTTGTTTGTTTCGCATCAAGCGCAGACGAGCACCATTCTGCAAACCGTCGACGATCGGGTGAGCGCCATTCAGCCCTTCCGGCAGCACATCCAGTCCGAACTGCGAGCAGCGGAGCTCAACTTTCAAGACGCGTTGTTTTGATGAATCGTGTGCTTGTTGAATGCGCGCAGTGCTGGACACTGCTGGTGCCTGTATCCTGACATTATTTAATGTACTTTTTGATTGTGTTCGAGTTTCGAGTGCTGTGGCTGGTGAATCTGCTCAAAATCAAGCAAAAGGGGAACGAAAGCTGAAAAAAAAAAAAAAAAAATCTACAAAACCGTTCATTGAGGGACGATTTGGATGTGTATCAATGCAACAAAAGAGAAAGAAGCAACATATCAACAACTATCAACAAACTGTTGACACGCAGCAGCAGCAGCGAGAGACGTGGGTTCTCAACAGCAGCAGCAAGCGGCAAACAGCAAAGACGACAAGGCGTTGAAATGCATTTTCGTGTCGAGCCGTTTACTGGGAGTTGTTGCCAGCCTTGGCGTCCATAATCTTCTTGCGCTCATCTCGCAGGTCAATGAACTGCAATTTTGTGTCAACGTGCATGATTGTGAGTGAGACGACTACAAGTGTACTGAGTACGATGGCCGTTTAGATTGACAATCTCGGTTACCTTGTCGTGATCATCTTGGCGAGTGTGGATCCAGGGGTGGGGGTTCTTGCGATCCCAGCTGCCGATGCATGAGCACAAAGTGCGACAGAAGACCCAATGACGGATCGGCATCGATGGATGTGAGCGAGAGAGGGAAGAGAGAGAGAGAGAGGGAAAAAGTCGGCAAAAAAAAAAAAAAAAAAAAGCAGGATCTCGCTTCCCTGTCAATGCGAGTCGGGGCAACAGCATAATTGGGGGGACTTACACGACGTGGGAGCCCATGGAAAGACGGCCGACATAGTAGCCAGCGCCGACGAGACCGAGGCCGATGATGCCGAAAAGCGGGATGAGCTGAACAAGAAAAAAGAAAAAAAAATCAATACAACAAACGACATACAAAAATCAAGTGAGCGTTTGACAAAGAGAGAGAGAGAGAGAGAGCACCCCGTGTCGTCCCAGCGGTGCACTTGCTAGGAACGAGTGCTAAAGTAGCGTGGGGTGGAATGAGCGCGGCGGCGGCGGCGGCGAGGGAGAGGGGGTCGAGGATGGTTCGGCGTGAAGCCCCTCATGTCGCGGTGCTTTCCCCCACCTCCTTCCAGCCCCGCACTCTGCGTCCCAAAAACGCTATGCTGCTGGGGTGGGGATGAAGGATGGGCTACTCCAGTGCAGTGGGGGGGGGAAATGAGAGCGCAGGGTTACCGGAGGGTTCTCCTTGAGAAGCTGCTTGGTGGCGCCAACAACCATTCTGATTCAAAGTAAAGAGTGGCGAACGGTCTTTTGGACAAATGCAGGTGCACATAAGAGGTCGGATTGGAAATCAGGACAACAATGAAAATTATGGAGAAGGGACAGAAACAAAAAGCTAGAAAACCTGACAATTAAAAGTCAACAACGAATCATCCTTTGCACAGCACATCAGTAGACGCAAATGACACGCGCAGCTCGGACATCACGGAGGAACAGCGAGTGAGCCACTAACAATGCACATGTGAAACGATCACGACACACAGACACGCGCAACCACATAAAAACAAGAAAAAGTAAAAAGAAAAAAAAATGTAACCAAAAATCGCTTTAAGCGTAGTTGGCCTCTTGCTTAAGGCTGGTGCGGAAGCGAGCAGCGGCAACAATGCCGATAAGCTGAGAAACAAACAGACGAGCGGCAAGTGAGCACTTTGAAAACCAGCAAAGAAACCAATAACAACAAAAAGCCAGGGGAAAAAAAAAAGCCATCTCACCTCAGTGAAGGAGAAGAAGAGACCGACACCGCCGGCAGCCTTGAAGCCCTTGTCGAGGTCGTCCTCAAGCTTGGCCATGCAGCCCTTGCCCTTGGGGCCACGGGTGGGGTAGCCAGAGCCAGGAGTGCCTTCAGTGCCAGAGCCGTCGTCGTGGCACACGAGGTTGCCAGTGGCAGCGCTGTTGGAGCCGTCAGAGCAGGGGCAGCGTTGATGGGGGTTGGTGTGGACGTTTTCAGAGGGGCCAAGGTAGTTGGCAGTGAAGACAGTGCCGTTGTAGTAGGCGCCAGTGGGGGCGTCAAAGCCGCAGCAGGTGCCCCAGTTCTGGATGTCGGCACGCGAGTCAGCGCTGAGCTGGATCCAGGCCTCACGAACAAGATCGCGCTGCTGGCCGCCAGTGACGGAGAGGCAGGCAACGGAAACCGAGAATTGGATGATGAAAATGAGGGCGAGGACAATCATGTAAATGAAGAGCATAACCTGGTGGTGCTTGTGGGCGCCAATAAAACCGAGAACCGAGACGAGGAGGAGGAAGACACCGCAGGCAATGACACCACCAGCGACGGCGGCAGAGCTGAGCTTGGCCATGCCCTTGGCGGCGCCAGCGACGGCGATCAAGATGATCGACACGACCTACAGGATCAAAAAGGGAGCGAGAGGCACAATGAGATGACAACGTGCATGTAAGGGCAGAGGCAAGCGACAACGACGTGGCTTCTTTTTTTCTTCTTTTTCTTCTTCTTTCGCTTTGCTCGAGTCGCTCCAAGAGCGACCAACCCAAGCCAGCGCCATCGGAAATGTCCATCTCGGGTGTCGCTTTCTGGTCCTCTCTCTGGTGCGACACTCGATTTCTTCTTCTCATTGAATTTGAATTTTTGATGCATTTCCTGTTCACGTCTTTTTCGAACCAGGTTTTCGATGTAACAGGTTTTTTTTTTTTTTTGTTTTTTGCTGGAACAACGCCATATGTTCCCTTTTTTTCTGTTTTGAATTCTTGTGGGAAGCGATTTGCGATTTGGCCAGCGCTGGATGCAGCACGCTGGTACACCCATTTTGCACCAAGCTCGTACACCTTGCGTTGTCGCACAGGTCGCAGAGCAAAGTGAAAACGAACACAGACCCAGAAAAAAAAAAAATACAACACGCCAATTTGAAAAATCAAAAAAAAAAAAAATTCGCGATCGCTTTTTTTTCTGTTTCTTTTTCATTTTCGCACAATGGGCGCATTTTTTTGGAAGCGCGCTTGCACACCGCGCGAGGACGGTCGACGCAAGCGCATAGCCAAGCGGCGAGTCAGTGATTCTGGGGCACTGCGCGCGCGGTCCCAAGCAAAAGAGGCGAAAACAACTGCGCAGCGAAATTTTTTCGAAAGCGCGCGAAAATGCCGTCATTTTAGCTATTTGAAGGAGGAAAAAAAAAAAAAAAAAAAGTAAAAAAAAAATGCTTTTTCCCCACTTCAAAAAAGTCACAGGGCTGAGCGAAGGCGACGTCGGCTGGCGAGTGTGGGAGTCGTCATCACATTCAGAGCGGAACGGATGGAGGAGGTTGCTTTGTTCGAAGTTGGGAAGAAGAAGAGAGAGAACGAGAACGAGAAGAAGAAGAGAAGGAAGGTAGGAAACGTAGAGAAAGGAAAAAAAAAAAAAGTTCACTGTTTCGTATGAAACCGTACAAGGTAGAAAACGTTCAGAGCCTTCAGGCTGTTCTTAGTGACGGCGTAAGTCATTCTATGAAGCAAAAAGGAGGAATGAACCGATTTTGCATTTTCGTTTTTGGATTTGTCGGTTTCACCAGCAAAACCGCAAAACGAACCGCTTTCTCATCGCGCCAACAATTCAAGCACATTGTAGGAAAATCAAAGAGAAGGCATGAGGTGCAGCTGCAGAAGCAGAATCCACCCCCGGCGCTGGCAGGATGGCAAGGCGATCGATGCGAAACAAACATTCTTGCAGTTCGAACCGAGTGGCTTTTTTTCCAGTCAACACCAAAACGAACCCTGCTTCAATTCTGATAACGCTGATGCACTGATTCGCTCTTCATGTTCAATGTCTGACTTCAACACAAAAAAGACGAACAAACCGCTCATTTTATATTTTTTTTTTCATTTTTTATTTTATTATTTTATTATTTTATTCGTTTTTTTTTCCCGTTTCGTATTCTTTCCTGGATTGCATTGTTGCCCGACGTCCTCCTCCCCTCCGCACAGTCCCCACCCCACCATTTCGGACGATGGCGCTCGCAACCAACAACAACAGCTTTCCCGTGGAGCGCATTCGGCAGGAAATCCTGCGCATTGGTAACAGAGCATGAAAAAGAAGAAAAAGAAAAAAAAAGGAGAAAAATCCTTTGCAGCGATTTGGAAGGCGGTATTGAACGAGATCAGCGACTCGCTGAAGACGAGGGGACGAGCAAAGGGGGGAGGAAGAACAGTGTGTGACGGGCAGGGTGAGAACCTCGGGTCGGACGAGGGGAGGCTGTGGAATGAACCGCCTTAGAGAAGGTCATGGCATTGAAGAATTTGCAACCCTCTCTTCTCTCTCGCGCTCATTGCTGAGTACCTGCTTTGACTGTCGTGTGTCGAACAAATAGATACCATCAAGAAGGCGACAGAAGACCTGCTCGAGAAGGTGTCAGAGGTGCCGGACGAGGACTTGCGCCGCCAGCTGCTTCAGAAGCTAAACCATCTCAAAGGTAACGGCATTCTTCACTGTGGTCGTTGTCGTAGCATGTTCCGCGTTCGACAAGGACAATTGGGAGAGATCATGATCGCGATGTCGGGCGTTGATTTTGGCGTTGATTTTAGCGTTCGGTTGGCTGACCGATTGATTGATGGATTGATTGATTTTGGTAGAAATTGTGCTCGAGCCACCAAATTGGAAGGACGATGCGACACCCACATTCAAGCTGGTACGGGTTTTGCACACGCGCAATTGTCACTCAAGTGATTGTTCCATTGTGCCAGAGCTCACCAACGCCTAACTGCGTCGTCTTGTTCGCTCTGCTCGTTTCGCTGCATTTGCAACACTTCTTATTCACAGGTCATCATGGGCGCGCCGGGCTGCGGAAAAACAGCCTTAATCACCCGACTCATCAATGGTGAATTCAAAAAGGACGCCGAGCCACCAGCCGCCATGAGTACGAGTCAATATGCAACAGTTTGTGATTTCTGGGTTTTTCGTGCTGACTGATCTCTGATCTCTCTTGGCTCTGTTCAACCCCTGCCACAGACGATCGCTACACGAAAAAGCTGCGTGTTGATGGATCGCAGGTGCAGTTGCTTATCTGGGACACTTACGGCCAACCTGGTCCGCAGGTTGTCGCCTGGGCGGATGCCTTCCTTCTCGTGTTCAACACGCACGACATGGACTCGTTTGATACTGTTTTCGCCTACCTTGCACGTGTTGTGCACTACAAGGACACGCGCCAGTTCCCTCTGATTGTCGTGGGCACTCAAGGTGAGCCCTCCGCCCTCAACTGTTGGTTCTTGGCTGTTGTGTATTCTCACCTTTCCCACTCTGTTATTACAGCCGACCACGAAGTCTCTGCTGCAGACGCTGACGAAGCAGACGGCGAGGTAGCGACCACAGCGCAGCGCAACAACTTTCTCGAACCTGTCGAGCAGAAACGAATTGTGCATGGCCTCGACGCTTGCCCTTACTTTGAAGTCTCCTCCAAGACTGGGCGCAACGTCAGCCTTGCATTCGATGCGAGTACGTCCTCTGTTTTATGCTTGGAGCTCTGTAGGAGGCCCTGCGCCAACAAATCTGTCGCTCACCTTTATTTTTGCTATGCTAGTTGTTAAACAGCTCCTGGAGCCTCTTCGAAAACACAGCCCTGATCTGATGCGCAAGTTCCGTCTGCAAACAAACAGCATGACCCTCACAAAGATGGTAGGAAAGGGCAGCGCTCGACGCGTAGTGCTGAAGAAATCACTGGAAGTCACATCAATCACTTTTTCTTTTTGCATTGCAGCTTCTTCCCAACAAGCCCAAACCATCCAAGAGCCAGATTGCATTGCTGCCACAAGAAGGCGTCGGTCGACCCATTCCAATTCGACAGGTTTGTCTTCCGCCCTTTTTTTTTTTTTTTTTAAAAACAATTGCACTGTTGGATTGACTTTGGTGTACCTTTCGAACACAGAGCTACGTTGCTAAACAAGCTGGCGATGGTGGCAAGTGGCGGAAAAAGTATGCCGTCCTGGTCAAGGGCAAACTCGTCTACTATCCCAATTTGCATGTAAACGAAGCAAATCAAACACCTCAAACTGCAACAAAAAACATGATGTTTGAACAAACAATGCTCACCTTGTCTCTTCATCGCTCGGACAGGATTACATGAGCGATGAGAACGCGAAAGAAATCAACATGATGCACATTACCGTCAAGCGCCCGAACAAACGACCTGCGACTGCCAGCCAACCACCCGTTGCCACCGGATTGAGCCCTGCAGCTGCTGCAGCCGCTGCATATGCCGCAAGCCAGAGCGGCAACGGTGGCTCGTCGGAAGGAAGCTCGCCGCAGCCCGGCTCGGGGTTGAGCGAGCCGCTTGCTGCCTCGTCGGGGGACAATTTCATCGACGTTCCTCCTACCTCTGCTCGCCTCAGCCGAAGCGACAGCGCCGAGCCCCTGACTTCCGATTTGCTGGATACTCCTGCGGTTGCCCAGACCCCTGGCACACCCAAAATGGTTTCGTCTCGACAAAGCAATTTTGATCTGCTCGGCCGCAGCGAAGTGGACTTTGATGACATGCCCATGTCGCCCATGGCCAAGGATTCCAAAGACCGCGAGAAGCGGTTTATTCGCGACCCTGCAGCGTGCTTCTCCATCATTTCCCTAGACGGCCGAACCTGGCAGTTCCAGGCTTCCAGCGGTGAAGAGTGCGATGCATGGGTTGCGGCGATCGAGAAGGAAATCCAAGCTTCCCTGACGACCAACGTGATTGAGAAGGCGCGAGTAAGTTTTGTCTCCACTTTGGTGGTTGTTTGCGAGCGGCTCTCTGCGTGTCGACCGCTTGTCCTTTGATCCTCATTGCTTTTTTTGACTTTTGTTTTTGGCTTTCTCAACCGAAAGAAATCCATCGCCGATCCGACTCAACTCCTGCCCGGCGCACCGAGCAGTGGAATGTCGCGCAAGGCGGCCATGAAGGCGATTCTCGCCATGCCTGGCAACGACAAGTGTGCCGATTGCAGCGCTCCCAGTACGTGTGAACTGATTTCAATTGTGTTGTTTTGGTCTTTGGTTTTTGCAACGAGCCCGTCATGGTCGGCTTTGGTTTTTCGCACACTCACACGCTGCTCTGAACTCGACACAAAACAAAACCAGATCCGGATTGGGCCTCCATCAATTTGGGCATTGTGATTTGCATCGAATGCAGCGGCGTGCATCGCAATCTGGGAGTGCAGCTGTCTCGCGTTCGCTCGCTGACCCTCGACGATTGGAGCGAGGAGCTGGTCGTGGTCATGACGGCCATTGGCAACACGCTTGCTAACAGCGTCTGGGAGGCAACCGCTACTCCTGAGCATGGCAAGCCTGGTCCCGATGCAGACCGGTCAGTGGCATTTGCACATTGTCCCGGATGATTGCATGAAAGTCTCACCTTTGGTTTCCATCCGTTTGGCGCGTAGAGCGGATGTGAACACTTGGATTTCCAACAAGTACGAGAAGCGGCGCTTCCTCGGCACCAAGTCCACTCCTGCGCTTGGTCAAGTAAGAGATTTTGCGGGTTTTCGTTCTCCCGCATTGCATTGCCGCCTTTGAGCTTGTCGCTCATGGGTTTATTCTTTCTTGGATGAAATGTAGCAACTTTACGAGGCCGTTGTGGCCAATGACGTCAAGCGCTGCTTGCTGCTTCTCGCATTGAGTCAGCCATCGGATCTCAAGTTTACCAACAGCGCCGACCATGGGCGTAGCGTTCTTCACGCGGCTTGCGCAATGGGGAGCGTATTGTGGGTCCAAATGCTAATCTGGGTACGGTTTCCCTTCGTGTATTGACGTGCTGGAGTGCGTGCAGGCTGGACTGACTTTGCATGTTGTCCTTTTTTTTTTTTTTCTTCTTTTCTTGTTTCTCTTCGCTCATTTCGCAGTACTCGGCAGACGTCTTGCTGCTGGATGACGATCAACAATCGGCGTACGACATTGCACAGGCGGGCTCGCATCACTTGATCGAGCGCTTGCTGGTGCAGAACGGCTTCTCCACGAGTATTGTCAAGAAGCACATGCAGGCGCACGGCGCGTCGTCTTCGCCAACGCACTCGAGCCCCGTGGCCGTGCATGCCACGCCGTTGCGCGTGCCTCAGATGGAGGTCATCCCTGCTACGCCAACCCGTGCGTCGCCGCTGGAGAAGGATCTCCTGATGGAAATCGAGCTTGCATTCCCTCCACGCGCGGCGTCGCAAAGCAAGAGCGATCTCACCACCATCTCAGATTCTGAGCCACCTACCCCTCCGGACACGGGTTCCCAAAGTCCGCTGAAAATCACCGAAATATGAACGCGCAGACAATATTTTTAATAAGAAACCAAATCAGTATTCAATTTGTATTTTTTTCCCAATTCCTCCTCATTTCGAGTCCTTCGACGATGATGGCGTGCTTGAAGCGTTTGGGGTTTCCACTGCCACGGCAGGGGCAGCTGAAGCCGCAGGAGATTCCGAAGCAGGAGCGAACGAGGGCTTTTGGTTGCGACCGATCGTGATGCGGCGCACTCGGTTGGGCGCGCTCCAAGATGAGGCGGAAGCCGATGAAGGCGCAGTGGACAATGTCGATGCCGGGCGCGAATATTGGTTTGTGGATGCCTGGTTTGATGCCGGGTTGGCACCGACCTTCAAAGCGTGGACCATAGCGGTCATCTCTTGCAGCATGCCTTCCATTAGCTTCAATTGAGCGCTTAGCGCGGCAATGCTCGGGGTTGGGGCGTCGCCTGCTGGAGAGCCTGCGGTGGCAGTGGGCGCAGCAGGAAGCATTCCATTTGTGATAATGTACTGATGCTGAACGTGGAAGGTAGCGCCACTGAGAGAGGATACAGCTGTGGGGGTCGCGGAATGTGAGCTGGTCAAGGCAAACCCAGGGCCGCTGTTGACAGAGGGAGGCGACTGATGCAGCACAACACCGCCTCGGTGAGGCACACGTGCGTCGCCTGCAGGATGGGCGTCAAGCGCGCTCACAATGCCGGGAAGGTTCCATGGCATGTCGTTCGAATCAATGTCCAACGATCCAGCGATGCGCGAGTAAACACTCGAGGGCTCGGTGAAGCGTCGAGGCTGCACCATGCCGGGCGTGACCAAATGCGGCCCAGTGGAAGATGTGGAGGCTGCTGCTGCTGCTGCTGCTGCTGCTGGTTGCGAGGATTGGGACGCGGCAAACTTGCCCACGGAAATCGAGATGGGCCCCGCCGATGGTGTTGGCGATGAAGCAGGTGCAGTCGGGACTGTGGTACTGGTAGATGCAGCCGCCGCGCGAGCAGCCGCTTCTTCGCGTAGTTTGTTCTCGATTTTGACTTCCTCGCGATTCTTTTCAAGCCGGGCTTCCACAAGAGCGTCGACTTGCTGAACGACCTTGAGAGCAGCATCAGTCTGGTCGGGATTGTTGTAAGAGACGCGCTTGAGCAAGGTGGTGGGCAACACGCCATCCTGGAGACCGACGAGCGAGTTTGCCAGCACAGTGACGAGTGCTTGCTTGACGGGCACTGCGGTTGAGCCACGAGCAGCGCGAACATGAGACTTGGTTGATGCCGTGTCTGGTTTGTCCTGTTCAAGAGACGTTTCGCCTGAAGAAGCCTCAGCAGATTCGGCGCTTGCTTTGGACGCGGGTGTATCATGAGCGACGAAGGCGTGAATGGGCGAGCCAGGATGGGCTGCTTCAGCAGCAACCGGAGTGGTCAAGGGATGGGCTTCGGAAACAATAGCTTCGGAAACAGCCTCTGCGGGCTTTGACAAGGCGAAGGCGTGAATCGGCGAGCCGGGATGGGCTTCGGAAACAATAGCTTTGGAAACAATTTCTGCGGGCTTTGGCAAGGCAAAGGCATGAATCGGCGAGCCGGGATGGGCTTCGGAAACGGTCTCTGCGGGCTTTGGCAAGGCAAAGGCGTGAATCGGCGAGCCGGGATGGGGCTCAGCCTTGCTTACTGAAGCTGTCGGTGCGACTTCGTTGGATGCAGTCGGCAAGCTTTCCTCGACTTCAACAACGATATCTGCTGGCTTGGGGGAGGAGTCAGCAGCGTCGGGCTCGACCGACTCGACCACTTCGATCGGGGTTGCAGCAACAGCAGCAGCAGCAACGGGAGCAGCAACGGGAGCAGCTGCAGTCTGAGTTGGAGCGAGAGTAAAAACCGCGTGGCCAGCAGTCGCTGCAGTTGGAGCCGCAGTAGTGATACTATTGGCAGTTGTAGTCGTCGTCTCCTGCGACGATGACGACGACGATGATGATGACATTGCACGCAGCGCTTGGCGTGTGAGTGGCAATGGCTTGGCTGGCTGAAGCATTGCAGCGGCGGCGATTCGGCCTGCGCCTGCGCTCGCGACACCATCCTGATGAAGACGATGGGAATGACGATGGCGGCTACCTTGCTGTGTCGCAACGCACAGTGTTGAGAGCGAGCGCGGCAGGGCGACGCGTGGTTGCTGACTGGCGCCATGTGGCAGCGGCAGTCGTGATCGCCCAGCGACCGCAGCGCTCTACCAACAGCGAGATTCAGATCCCCCCGAGATACAGTAGAGTGAGTTTACAAGCTCAGGTTTTGCAGATGAGTTTGGTGGAAGCGAGTGAATGAGTGAGCTTTTGAGTGAGAGAGGGCCAGAGAACACACTGCCAAGACAAGAGGAGACGAAGAGCTCCATGATCAGCCGCAGTGGGATCGCGATGAATGAAGCCGCCGAGAGTTGAGTTGAGTGATAACAAAGAGGGAATTTTGGTGGTGGTGGTGGTGGTGGGGGGGGGTGTTACCGTGCGACGGAGGCATCCAGCAGCCAACATTGAAAAGGGGAAAAAGAGAAAAAGTAAACGAACAAAAAAAGACTGAGAAAAGCTCAGAGTCCGAGTGAGGGTTTGAGATTGAGATGGAAACGATTGAAATTGGAAATTCTTATGATCAGAGATTGTTCTACGAAGATACGAGGACTGCGTTCAACAAGAGACCCTGTCAATCAATCAATCAATCAATGCAGTCGCAGGACCCTACGACAAACAGAACAATGCTCGGAAACGACGCTTGATCGTAGCCGTGTAGGTCGGCGGTTTGACAAAGGACCCAGAGATCGGGTTGTTTGAGTCTTCGGTGGATGCGTCGGGACTGAGCTCACCACAGCAGTCCGCCGCCTGGAGCTGAGCGATGCGCGCGTGCGTGGCTGCATGGCATCTATCGGAGCACGCCCAGATGGAGAATTGCACCATCCGATTGCCGAGAAAGTGTTCAAAGATGGCGCGAGTCAAGTACCACTCTGTCAAGCATAACAAAGGAACGAGTCAGGATTTCGCGTTGAAACGACCTCGCCAACCTTTGCACAACAACAACATACTGCTGCGCTGTTGCGAAAAGTGCTTGCTGCAAATGATGCAAATGCTCGTATCTTGCATGATTCGATCGAGGTCATCACGAAGGCAAGGCATTGTTGCAAGAAACTCGTAGTCTTGGGGCGAGTGGCAGAATCGGAGAGCAACTTGCCCGGCCAGATCAAGTAGCGTTGGCGGTGCTGCTGCGAGATTGGCCGTTTCTGAACACCCATCACCACGCATGAGCACTGCGTCTGTTTTCACCATGCTTTCGCAGTCCAGACCCCGTGTAAGCGAAAACTTTACCGTTGCTCTGCATCGGAACGGAACTTCCATGCCAAGAATAGTTTCCAAGCCGTCGTAGCCGTTGGAGCTTGGGCAAGAGCAAGACCACGCCAGGAATGGCCGCAAACCAGTTGTCATTGAGACTTAGTTCCTGCAGCTGCGTGCAGGCTACAATTGTCCACGGAAGCTCCTTGAGGTGATTGGAACCGACGTGCAATTGTTCCAACTGCCCAAGCTGGCCGATTTCTCGAGGGAGGGAGCTCAGCCCACACATGGTCAAATTTAGTACTTTGAGCTGCGCCATGGCTCCAATCTGGCGTAGTTTCGCAGCACGAGGGCGACGAGGAGTGAGAATCGCATCAAATGGTCGATCAGTTCGTTCCACGCTCACAAACTCGGCTTACCGAGCTCGGCAATGTCTCCAATGTGACACCCGCAAGATTGAGTGTGTGTAGATGCACCATGTCGAAAATGCAGCTTGGAAGCTGCTTGTGCGCTCGCGGACACAATTTCCACCCGCTGTTCTGAATTTCGCCGTCTGCCATGACCAAAAACAAGCAACGAAAATTCCACAAGTTTGAAAAATGGTCCCAGATGATGAGATTCAAGGGATGCTTCGTCCGCGAGAGAACGAGATCAATTGAGGTTTTGAACCGGCTCAGAATGGAAGTCTGCCAGATATTTATAGCTTTGTTGGATTTTGTTTCACGCATCTTTACCTTCGTTCACAGCGCTCCAGTCGAGTTCGTCCACCGCTCGGGCCAAGTGCTTCGTGATTGCGTTGAAAGTGGGTGCATATGTCAATCCCACAATGCCACCAACGGTTGAGATCTGAGCAAGATTTGCGCACCAAAAACAGCATTCAGCGTTGTTTTTTTCGGGTTTTTGGCTGAACGCACACAAAGATCACAGCAACAAGTCGAGCTATTGTCAAACCTGTTTCCTGTACACGGTGGTATCTACTTGGAATTCCGCTGCGAGGGTGTCGAGGCGCGTGTCGAGCAGCTGCTGGAGCGTCAAACGCTGCTTCAACGGAGCGTCATTTCTGACGTCAACGACCGGACCGACTTGACCGTCGACGAGCGGAGTGTCAGAGACAGAAAGCATGCAAGAAGGCTCCATTCTATTCTTAGGGTGGTATGTTTGTAATTCGGAACCTGGGAGGCGACGCCGCGAGGCTTTGGAATGGAAACGGGACGGATCTGAGAATAGACTGATCTCTGACCATTTTGGTCGTTTCTGTGCTGTTCAACTTTGTCATTATAAAACGTCATTGGATGCCCATGTCTTGACTTCTTGATCTACACAGCGCACTATCGAGCCAACATTGACAGAAACGCTTTGCTCGCTTTTTCTAAGTTTCTTTCCCGATATTTCACTCTTTCCCCCTTTTGTTTCCCATCTCCTTTTGATTTAGTACTGTTTATTCTTCATTTTTTCATTCATTTCATGGCGAGTGGCACCAAGTCGTCCAGCACCAGCAGCAGCAGTGGAGCTACGCGTCCCGTCGGCAGCTACTCTTGGACCCAGACTGACGTACGACCCTTCTCTCATCCTTCCATCCCACCCGATCTCAATGGTGACGAGTGGAGCACCACTTGAGCTTCCCCCATTGCGTGCTCGTCGCTTCTGTTGCTGAAGGGACGACAGCCTCGACGACACTCACGCTCTGTTGAGCCCCATCACTCTCTCACTCTCACTCTCTCTCTCTCTCGCTAACATTGATTGCTAACTGGACTGCGGCGTTGCTACTGACTTGCTTCAGGAGGAGGTGACGATCGTGCTCTCGTTCCCAGCCGTGTTCAGCGTAAAGGACGTTGCTGTCAAACTGTTGCCACACTCGATCGTCGCTGGCATCAAAGGCCATCCGCCAACCATCTCGGTAAGAGAGGTTCAAATGCTAAACTCTACGCACGACAGCCGGAGATGAAGGGGGGCATCGGGATTGGGTCAATTCGGCCAAGTTCCATACCAAAAGCGATCGGATCTGAGCGCTTGGAACCGTCTGAGATCGCGAGCATTTATGATGCTGATTATGTGGAGATGGAGTAGAGTTCGAGGCACCATCCTCGCTATTGCTGAGCTTTGCCACTATGAACGCGTTAGAGCTGACTGACTTCTTCTCATTTTTGGTTTGCTAGGGCGCCTACCCTTCCAACGTCGAACCAGACGGCTCGTGGACGTTTGAAAAGATCAGCGCCACGGAGAGCGCGGTCGAAATCCATCTACAGAAGGTCGACCCGGAGGTATGGCCTGCTGCGATCGTGCGCGACGGTCCGAACGCAGAAATGGACGGCCAGAGTTTGTATCTGGCTGCAGGCCTCACGGAGGCGTCGGACATTTACGCCACACTGAGTCTGCTCACAAAGGCCGCCGCGAAAGGAAACATTCCAGCGCAACTCAAGCTGGGCGCATGGTTTCAGCTCGGGCGCGAAAACAACTGCCCCGTCGACCGCGATGTGGCCGAATCGGCCTGGTACTACATGCAAGCCGCCGAGGCCGGGAGCGGCGAAGCGCAGTTTATGCTTGCGCGAGCGTATGAGCGCGGAGAGGGTGTCGGACGATCGTACGAGCAAGCGCTGGCGTTGTACACGCAGGCCGCCAATCACGAGCACAGTTGCACCGAGTCGTCAGCCTTCCATTTGGGCGTGCTGCTGCATACAGGCGACGACACTCACTCACCAAACATTCCCGAAGCCTCCAAATGGTGGGAGCTGGCTGCCTCGATGGACTCTGCTGCCGCGCACTACAACCTCGGCGTCTTGCACTATTACGGCAAGGGCGTCCCTCAGGATTTGGTCCGAGCGCGCGAGCATTTCACAGCTGCGCAAGCACTCGATCCCAAACTGACCAACATCCCCGAGCTCGACAGTCTGGATAACGAGGAGGACGACGAAGACGGCGTGGACGAGTTGGATCCGATGCGTCGCAGTATTGACTTTGAGGCGATTGCCAGAGCTGCTCAGACCATGAAAGCCGGACCCCCTGCGATGGTGATCACGCCCACTCGCATGGCAGGATCGCCTGCTGCTTCTGCGGGAACTTCCACACCGACGGGCGCCGGCGCACGGAGAAAAGCCGCGTCAGGCTCGGCTCCTCATGCGACGGTCTCGCGCTTGACAGGTGCATCAGCCAGCAGCAGCTCACCGGGCACACCGCGAGCAGGCACCCCTCGCCGACCAGGAACGCCAGCTCCCGGCATGATTGCTGACGGCACCGCCACTCCCGCTTCGGACACTAGCGCAGCTTCGCCCAGTTGGTTTATTGATGTTGCAGCTGGTGTTTCAGTGCTTGCTGCAGCTGCCGCCGCTGTCTTTGTCATGCGGCGGTCGTGAATCTCACACAACACACACAATTTTTTTTTGGTTGAATACAACTTTTACCACGACCCTAGGGATGATTTCTGCATTGTTGTTTTGTCACATCAAGCGACGTCGCTCGATGAAAACCACACACTGCTGAGAGCGCGTCTACGAGGCTTTGATGAACATGTCTGGTTGTAGTGTCGAAACCAAGACAACTTCCAGCAGTTTCCAGCTCGATCTGCGACTTTTCACCATCCATTTGTCTAGAGTGAATCTCAACGTCATATTTGACCACGTCTCAGTCCTCCACTAAATTCTCACAAACCTCAATAATGGTGCTGCACTTGATGTTGCGCGGCTCATTCTCGATCGCCACGCGACTGAGGGTGCTTCCAATCCACCACCACCACGACCACCACTCGCGCAGATCCAGCCACGGACTCGCTGCAGACACTCATCCCGAGCTGCCGCAGCCGTCGCCGGGCAGGCACCCGCACCTGATGAAGCACGGCGAGCTCACGCCTGGGATTCCCGCGGACGAGTACGCCGAGCGACGCCGCGCTCTGATGCGCCGGCTGCCACTCGGGAGCCTTGTACTCGTGTTTGGAAGCACCAAGCACTTGATGGCGAACGACATCCCGTACCCGTTCCACCAGAACGCAGACATGCTGTACTTGACTGGGCTGAACGAGCCCGACGCCGTCCTCATGCTCCAAGCGCCGACCAGCGAGCTCAAGAATAACCATCCAAGCACTGAATCATCAACTCAGCAACAACAAGCACATTTATCGAGTGCACTGAAGCAAGCTCCGTCGGCCGCGTCGCAGATGGTCGCGAGTATTCTTGGCGTTTCACTTGTCAAACAAGGAGATTTCCCGCCATTGCCGCAACTCCCGCCCCCGCCATCACTGCCAGCGAGCACGTTCCGGGCTGCCGTGGCAAACCTTAGAGGCGAGCATACCATGACCCTGTTTGTCAATCCAACCGATCGCGTCTCGCGGCTGTGGGACGGGCCTCGTGCGGGTCTCGAATGGGCCAAGGCGCACTTTCGAGCAGACCGGTCGTTTCAAAACAGCGAGTTTGCAATGCATCTGCGAATAGCACTGGGCCAATGCACACACGTCATTGCGCCCTCGTCGGACTCGGCCAGCTCCCCACAGCCAGTGGCGAGCGTGTTTGATTCGGCAATCAAGTCCTTTCCCGAGCATCGTCAAGTCCCTCTGCAACCCTTCTTGCATGCTCAGCGCGCTGTCAAGTCTCCCGCTGAGCTCGTGTTGATGCGCAAGGCAGCCGAGATCGCCTACCATTCCTTTATTGCTGTAAGATGATGTCGGTCGAGCGGCGTTTTGTGAAGTCAGTTTTTTTTCTGTGCTCAATACTCACCGCTTTCTTCGCTTTGAACTCTCAAGGGAATGCAAGCGACTCGCCCAGGGGTGGCAGAGTACCAAGTGTTTGCTGCAATGCAAGCAGCGACAATCTCACGAGGAGCCTTCCACCTGTCCTTCCCACCAGTCGTCGCTGGTGGTGCTCGTGCCACCATCCTTCATTACGTGCAAAAGGATCAACTATTACGGTAGGGGGGGGGGGCTCTTTGAACTTTTGTCTTGCTTACAGTATTCTGACGTCTGTTGTGCGGCGGGTTTGTTCCGTTTTAGTGCGAACGAGTTGGTATTGGTCGATTTTGGCAGCGAGTACTTTGGATACTGCTCGGATGTATCGCGGACGTGGCCAGTTTCTGGCAAGTTTAACGCCATCCAGCGAGCCGTCTACGAAGCAGTGCTTTCGGTGAATCAGAAATGCATCGAGGTACGCTCAAGGGTCTCGCGCCGCGTGCAACATCCTGATCATATTGATCACTCATTGTTTCCGCCTTTTCTGCATCAGGTTTGCGATTTGGGACGAAATGCTGGCCTCCGGGCTGCCGATCTCTCGCGACATGCCCGAAACTTTACGATTCAAGAGCTTGAAAAGCTTGTTCCACTGATCATCCAACCTCAATTTCGCCACCTTTACTCTACTCGCGAGCAGCTGATTCCTGTAACGAGGATGATTCCTTTGTTTCGGGGGCGGGGGAAAGTGTTTGACTCGGTTCTCATTCTGTTCGCATTTTAGCTTGCAAGCCAGCTCTTTCCACACAGCATTGGCCACTTTCTTGGAATGGACACGCACGACACTTCTGAAATCCGCCAGTTTGAGACGTTCGTCGACGGCATGGTCTTTACGATCGAGCCTGGGTTGTACATTGACGAGTTTGGCGAGCATTTTGTGCCAGAGTAAGTCTTCACCAGTCCCACCCATGCCCAGAGCTTGATTGTGTGCCTGACATCCAAAACCTCCCTTCATCTGCCTCTACAGAGCACGCGGCATTGGCATCCGTGTCGAGGACAACATTCTCTTCCGATCCGGTTTGCCAGCTCAAGTCTTGACTGCAATGATTCCCAAACTTGTGGATGATATCGAACGTGTTTGTGCGCAGTGAATGCGAGCGATTGGTTGCTGGCTATGTTGTGGGCAAAATGCTTTTCATTCAATGTTTACATCAACATCAACACAAGCATCAAAACAAAGCGAATGCCCATCTCTCTCCCCCCTTATTGACGCGCATGATTTTCTCACAGAAAAAAAAGATCCAGCTGTACATCTCACGACAAGTCATATTGTCCGAGTTTTCATATTTTTTGTTTTGCTTTTCTTGTTGCAGTCTTTCAGCGACCGGACAAAAACCACATATTCACACTCTTGTTCAGAGCTCACATTTTTTTTGGTTGTACAGTGCCTTGTGTACGCTACATTGCAAGCAGTTTGTCTAGCTGTTTTTTGTTTGTTGCAAAGTTTGCTTTTTGTGGGTCCCTGGATTATTCAAAGACCAAGAGTAGGAACCTTGTGGTCGGAGCGAACGCCGGTCGGCGCGCCGTCCTGCTCGAGGACCTCTTCCGCAGACATGGCACGGTTTCCCTCGTTTGCAAGAGTCTGAGACTCGGTTTCTTCAACGGACGGCGCGCGGTTGGCCTGGAACCCTTCCAACGGGTGAAGACCATGTTGAACGCTGGAGCCGCTCGAGGCAGTTGCCGGCTCGGGCTCGCTCTCAGAGAGGAAGGTCTCGTGCTCGTGCGCTTCGTGGATGGCGATCGCTTCATCGGGCGAGGTAGTCGTGCTTTTCCCGACAAGCTTTTCACGCTCCCACGGCGCGAGTGGATCGCTGGGGCGCATGGTGAGGTGTCCGTGCGAATCGCGCGTGAAGCTCGCCTCGCCGTCAATTCCCTCTTCGAGACGCATCGCGACCGTCGCGACGACTGTGCGTTCGTCGACTTCTTCCGAGCTCGTTGGCGCGGCCGTCACGTGCATATCCACGGGCAGCGTCGCATTGTCCGAGGACGCTGACGACGACGACGATGAACGCGCGGCAGCGTTGGACGTCGATGATGATGACGCCTGGGCGTGGTCGAGGGCGGCGGCGGCGCAGGTACCCGAAGCGCCCTTGTCAGAGGTCTGGCTGATCGCCTGCGGCAGAATGGCGTCCTTGGGCAGGGACGAGCTTGAAGAAGTGGTCGCGGGCTCGGCGGCCAGGGCGCTCGCAGGGAGACTGTGGAGGAAGCGTTGATGGAGTGGCCAGCTCGCCGTGCGACTCGTCATAACAACGACGGGGCGGACGCGATGCGGGATTGGCTCCAACGCCGCAGCGAGGAGCGATGGGAAGTGGACGCGCGGGTGCTTGTGTGGCTGCGCAGCGGCGGCAGCAGGATACGAGGACGCAGGCGCAGTGCGAACATAGGTGGGCGGTGCCGGCAGAGTTGGCGAACTGCGGAGTGCCGACGCGGATGAAGATGGGACTGCGGATGGCAGGATGCGCTGCAGCAGTGCTTTCAGGCGAAGCATTGTCGTGTGGTGTTGATAGGGGAGAGTGAGTGAGTGAGTGAGGGAGGGAAGTGAGGGAGTGAAAGTGACAGAGGCTCGAGATATGACGAATAAGGAACAAGAACGAAAAAAAATTTGAAAAGAGGAATGAACGCTGTGAGAACATTTCAATGGTGTCGTTTTCTTGGTTTGAGTGGAGTGTTGCGCGCTGATCCCTGAGGGACTGTTATCAATGGAGTCTATCATTGAATGGTAGTAGAACACCGATTAATCAATAATCCATGGCAGAATTAGGGCATGAAAATGGTCGAGAGCTTGCTTGTCGTGCTTGTCCAGCCACTCTCGTTCCACCGTCTTCTCGAAACCCCTGTCAACTCAAAATGCATGTATCTGATAGATGGAGAATGCATGTACTGACTGTTGGCGAGGAGCGAAGAAGTGGGAATTGCCCATTTTTTGTCTTCTGCGCGACAACTTGGACTGCTTGTCACACGCGCCAATCTTCTCCAGAGCAAGAGTGATTCTGTTTTCATGTTATGGATTGATGTGTATCTGTATTTGGAGTGTGTTCACTCGTCGCTTTGTATAAGTGAAGTCTCTAGTTTCCCTAACGTCATTCTCAACATCAACCCATTACTCGTATCTTCGTGGAACGATCTTTGATCATAACATTTCATCATGCAGTCGGCCACAAGATTTAGAGCGATTTACTCTTGAGCACCCGAGTGGACTGGGTCGGTTGTGAAGCAGAGCCGAGCGCAATCAGTTGAAGCAAGCGACTGCGATCGACGAAAGCTATTTTGTGATTGAACCGGACCACGTTGACCTTCAATTCATTGCAATTCTATGATATTCCGTATCCTCCCACATCAGTCTGGTTTGTTGGTATCCAATCCAGCGGCAAATGCACAATGGATTTCACATTAGACTCTTCACCAGGCCTCCAACTTACGAGCACGTCGCTCTTACCCTAAGCTCGCCTGACTCTTGTACAACCAGCTCACCACCAAGCGATGGCAGAGCGATCAACCGCCGAGATTCTGACTGGAGAAAACGAGCGGTGACTGAGACCGAGGCAAGCAAATCAGCTCCGTCGAAACGCGCAAGACTCGACCAGCCAGACCCCCCAATCCATGCGACCGAGCAAGCACCCGGCCTGTTTGAATCCGAGGCGGAGTGGGTGACTGTTGGGCAGTTCACAAAGTCGCACGAGTCGCCAGAGTCGCAGCAAGCCAACTCTGATTCTGCTCCTCTGGGAGCGAGTCTGCAACCTGATGCAAGTCTCCCTTCCTCCTCGACGAACGAGGCACCATTGACGGAGGTGTGCTCACAATCCATGAACATCTCGCAAATGCAGTCGTCCGCCAGCTCTGGCATCGTTCCTGCGACCCTCGCACTGTTTGACCACGACATGTCGTTGCCGTCCTCCAACGCAACTGCAGAGCGATTGGTGCAAGCGTCTAGCGTATTGCAGGGTAGTCAGGGTAAGGTGATTGTGAGTGACGACAAAGTGTTCCAGCACATATCCGTTCGGCTAATTCATGTTTGAGTTTTTCTCTATTCAGAAGCGACTTGCGAATCGTTACACTTACCCAATCCAGAGTCGTGGAATGGCACGCTAGATCTGCCCCCTTTGAGCGACTCTTTGCATCCACATCCGCACATGCCGAATCCGAGCCCTCCTTCCAGCTCGATTCGAAGCCAATTGCACCGTCCTATTTCGACAACTCAATTGCACACCGAGACCACGCCCTCGCTCGCTCTCGGCGCCTGTCCCCGCTGGAACTTTGTCCACGAAGCCGAAACGGTAGAGAGCTTGGTTCGGCATATTTGGCAGTTCGGACAGGCGTCTCCGCGCCCCAAGTATGTCTCGCAACACTTTGTCCCGGTTGAACTGCAGCCTGAAACCGTCATGAGCAATCTCGGCCTGTGCCTGCCCAAGACGAGTATGAGTGCCTGCTTGAAGCCAGCCAGTCCTTGTTCGGAGCCAGCAGCTCATTGCGCCATGCAGGCGTTGCCGCGACACCAGAGCTGCTACTCAGCCACAGCGGCCCAAGATGA